TGTCCTAGTCTCCAGGGCAGTCTTGGCCTCCTCTCAGTCTTCTCTTCTGCAGGCTAAACATGCCCAACTCTTTAAGCCACTCCTCTCTCCAGACCTTTGGTCATTTTAGTCACCCTCCTCTGGACACATTCCAGCTTGTCAATATCTCTCTTCAATATCTCTCTTCAATTATGGTGCCCAGTAGGCTTGGTTGATCAAAAAGATCACACCTTTGGATCATAATATCCCTAAGGTAGCTTAGTCAAAATTTGCAGATCAAAGGTGTGATTCAGATTTAAATGTATGTAATAGTGATGGCAGAAGCACTGTCATGAGACATGGCTGAATGGCCTAAACCAGGGGTCCCCAAACTTTTTGAACAGAGGGCCGGGTCGCAGTCCCGCAAACTGTTGGGGGGCCGGATTATAATTTGAAAAAAAAACATGAATGAATTCCTATGCACTCTGCACATATATTATTTGCAGTGCAACCCCCCCCCCAATCAAAAAAACAAAGACCCACACTTCTATATAAATAAAAATGTAATGTTTGTTTGTGGGATTAACAGAACTCAAAAACCACTGGACGAATTGACACCAATTTTAGACACAAGACACCTAACAACCCAATGTATGTCCTTCACACAAAAAATGATTTTGTCATTTGGGAGTTGTAGTTGCTGGGATTTATAGTTCACCTACAATCAAAGAGTATTCTGAACCCCACCAATGATGGAATTGAACCAAACTTGGCACACATTTCTCCCATAACCAACAGAAAATACTGGAAGGGTTTGGTGGTCATTGACCTTGTGTTTTGGAGCTGTAGTTCAACTACATCCAGAAATCACTGTGGACTCAATGATAGATCTGGACCAAACTTGGCACTGATATTCCATATGCCCAAATGTGAACACTTGTGGAGTATGGGGGAAATAGAATCTTGACGTTTGGGAGTTGTAGTTGCTGGGATTTATAGTTCACCTACAATCAAAGAGCATTCTGAACCCCATCAACGGTGGAATTGAACCAAACTTGGCACACAGTTCTCCCATGACCAACAGAAAATACTGGAAGGGCTTGGTGGGCAGTGTCCTTTGGTTTTGGAGTTGTATTTCACCTGCCTCCATCAATCACTGTGGACTCAATGATAGATCTGGACCAAACTTGGCACTGATATTCCATATGCCCAAATGGGAACACTTGTGGAGTATGGGGGAAATAGAATCTTGACATTTGGGAGTTGTAGTTGCTGGGATTTATAGTTCACCTACAATCAAAGAGCATTCTGAACCCCATCTAAGGTGGAATTGAACCAAACTTGGCACACAGTTCTCCCATGACCAACAGAAAATACTGGAAGGGTTTGGTGGGCAGTGTCCTTTGGTTTTGGAGTTGTAGTTCACCTGCCTCCATCAATCACTGTGGACTCAATGATAGATCTGGACCAAACTTGGCACTGATATTCCATATGCCCAAATGGGAACACTTGTGGAGTATGGGGGAAATAGAATCTTGACGTTTGGGAGTTGTAGTTGCTGGGATTTATAGTTCACCTACAATCAAAGAGCATTCTGAACCCCATCTAAGGTGGAATTGAACCAAACTTGGCACACAGTTCTCCCATGACCAACAGAAAATACTGGAAGGGTTTGGTGGGCAGTGTCCTTTGGTTTTGGAGTTGTAGTTTACCTGCCTCCTTGGAGACCAGAGCAGAGGGTTCCTGCAAAGCAGAGCAGAGGGCTCCTGCAAAGGCCGGAGCGGCGCCGGGTGGGTGTGGCCAGCGGCGCCGGGTGGGCGTGGCCAGTGGCGCCAGGTTGGCGTGACCAGCGGTGCCAGGTGGGCGTGGCCAGGGAACGCTGGAGTTCTCTGGCCACGCCCACCTGGCACCGCTGGCCACGCCCACCCGGCGCTGCTCCGGCCTTTGCAGGAACCCTCTGCTCTGCTTTGCAGGAACCCTCTGCTCTGGTCTCCAAGGAGGCAGGTATACTACAAAAGGCTTCTCCCTCCCACACGAGCAGAGCGGCCAGAGCAGAGAGGTCCCGCGATGGGCGGAGCGGCGCCGGGTGGGCGTGGCCAGGCCAGGCCTCGCGGGCCGGAGAAATGCCCTCGGCGGGCCGCATACGGCCCGCGGGCCGTAGTTTGGGGACCCCTGGCCTAAACTGTGAGGGGAAGTCCATCAAAATTGGGTGGGGTACCGTCTGTTTATCCAAAACAGACCCAAACAGATCCAAAACAGACCCTGGATCCAACCACATCATTTAACCAAACACAAAATGCAGATCATGTAGAACAAGAGACTGTACGTAGAACAAATCCAACACCATCAGCAAGGTGTTACTAAGTGCTTGACAGGGAAGATCTGTCAGAATTGACTGTAATTTAACTAGATCAAGCAAAATCCTCTGAGAATATCTTTATCTGAATTGGTGGTCCAAGGAGGTAACTTAGTATGGTTACCTGTGACAGATCCAATATACATTAAGATCCTTACTGAAGCTAATTGTTTGATTCTTTTGATGAGAATGTAGAACCCCATAGAACTCAGAGGCCACTGTCAAACACAAAATATTTTACTCAGAAACCAGTTGTTATCATTGCTAAGTGGTGGGCTTCCTTTTACAGTACTAGTGAGTAGGCTTATGCATTTTGGCTGAACCTCAAGCCAGATACTGGCACATCTTCGTATCCATTGTCACACGCCTCCCGAAAATGGGCACGTAGCCGGATAGCCATTTTCGGTCCTCACCCCAAAAATGTGGCTAGATCCGGTACACTGGCAGCAATGGGGAACTTACAAGGCTCTCCTTTCCTTTTTCCCTTTAAGAGAACCTGGATATCAGCAGTTGAATTAAGAAAGCACCCTATCCATCCCATTATCGGGGGAGGGGGGGCGGACTTCTCACAGGCTCCCCTTCCATATCCTTCATTAGGACCTGGATTAAAACATCAGAATTAACATACCACTCTTCCTGCAATCCTTTCCCTTCTGTCTATAGAGGAGACCTGGCTTAATGTGTTGTTAAATCTGTTTCTACTCTAAAGGAGAAGCGCTGCAGGTAGGCACACACTTTTTCTCCCTGCAGCATGTCAGAGTTTTCTAAGGCATTTTAAGGAGGCCGGAGAAGGAAGAGAGATAACCTGGAACTATAATCTCTGGCCTTCCTTAAAAAAAACACCTCTTTTTTCTCTACTGGAGGGCACGTTTCAATCTCCTTTCTGCTTTGTGTTTAATGCTTCCTTAAAACTGTTTCTACTTTAGAGGAGAGGTAGGCAACTACAGGTAGCAGTTTTCAGAGAATGAGGGTTTTCTTTTTGTTCGCTGGGATTAATAATAATAATTGTCTTTCAGAAGTATTTGAAGGAGAGGAAGGGAAGGAGAAAAAAAGCTAAAAGGGTGACTTTCCCAAGTCCCCAAATGCATGCCCACCGCACACCCCACTCATCCGTCCCACATGTCCCTAACTCTCAGTCATTCCCACTAAATAAAAATAATCAAGAAAATAAAGAAAATCAAAAAGATTTAAATGTGATGCCAAATAGGGGAGGAGGAGCTGAGATTGGCTGCCATGTGGTCCTGTTATGGAGGAGAATCCATGACAGATGGGCCCTTGCCATTACAAGCACCTGAACAAACTGAAGAAGCTGAATTGGCCAAAAGAAACAGCTAAAAACGGATCTGGCCTCAAGCCTACTAGTGAGATCCCATAAACCCATTTGTTAATGGAATGCCTTGGAGAAGTGAAAGATCTCTGCTGTTCCTGTCTATAGTTAATGGGACTCTTGGAAAAACCTAATCTATTTTGTAGGCTGTAATGAGGCCAAAATGCTGTTTTGAGATATAAAAAGGGAAAGAAACACTGAGTTACTCATATCTATAAAGATATCTCCCATGGCAGTGTAAGTAATTTATAGAATTTAAATTAAATTAATTATATAAAGCATCTTGAATATGCTGCCCAAAACAACTATATGGGACAATCTATATAAAGATACATAGCAGCAGTGAATCAAGGAGTATATTTTCAATTAAAGTAATAGGTCTTCTCCAAAGAAAAATGCAAAACATTGATGCATCTCTCCCCATTTGTTCTTCGGAGATACAGTAGAATTCACATCTATTTTAGGTTCTTCTTTTATGGTCACCATTATGTTACCAGTGTTTTTCTTCCTATTTACTATTACTATTCAATTTGATTTTTCAAGTAGGATTGGGGAAACTTCAGATCTCCCGTGATTACTTTTACAGTCATTTAATTTTCCAGAGCTAAAAACATGTAAAGTCCAGACAGATTTGGAAGAGCATCCCTCAGCAATAATCAGCATAAATATTGAGTTCATGCTTTGGTCTGATTTCTGCTACGTTATCTATATGAAGTAGTACCCTGTTACTGTAATATTTATTCCCAAGATCCCTGGTAAGTTGGGTGTCTCAGTGATACTGTCTCATGAGATATATATATATATATATAGAGAGAGAGAGAGAGAGAGAACAAAAATACTCATATATTTACATCTCTGGATGAAGAGCCAGCAATGTATGACAAAAAAGCATAACTGAAATGGCAATTTAACAATAGAAGACAGCAAGTTCAGGTCTAGGCTACAGTTTGTTGATAAGTGGCTAAAATATGATTCTTCCACTACATGTGAACTAAAGCAAAACTGAAAGAAAACGAAATTAGAAATATATATAGGCTCTATTGATTATGGAAGAAGGAAAATAATATTCAACATTACTGGACAAGAAAGAATTGGAAAGAAGTGGCAGCAGATGCCATGAAAGCCAAGCAAAATGATTACTATTTGGCAATAGGAAAGGAGCAGGACTTAGAAACATTATGTGTATATATTTATATAGGGTTTTAAAAATGATTATTACCACAAATATAAAGCAACAAGTGTTGCCTAATTGTTGCAAAGGGATTTTAAAGTAAGAGCCCCTGCACACAAGCTTAAAATAAAAAAGGCATATGAAAACAGAATGAGGAGCAAAGGGAAAGCAAGCACATACAAACAAGATTATCCAACTTGTTTAATTTATTCTTTATTATCATTGCTGTACAGTTTTCATACATACAGAAGAAAATGCATATTGGCTACACCATGGCATGTGGATGCATTTCCAATTATAATACAATTAAGTGCAACTCCACTTGAAAATGTACATTTTTTACAACTTATACAAAGTAAAGACTGCTACTCTATTATCTGTGACAGTATAAAGCTTTGATTTATGTTAAGTTCCATTACTAAACGCCTTCCTGGTTAAATACAAAATATACTAAATCATTTTAAAAGGCCCTTGTGGTACTTGGCCAATATATAAAATATGCTGTGTAAAATTTAACCTTTTGCATTTTTAAAAAATAAGCTTGTAGCTGTAGTTAAACATATTATTGAGCTGCTAGACGGACACACTTAACGGGAGCCATCCTGTAAGTTCTTACATGCTATTGCGCATCAGAAGAATTTTGTGCCCTGATCGAAACCTATTCCTTAGAAATAAGTCTCACTGCAAGCAATGAGGCTTAGCAGGAGTTTAAAAGAGGGCAAAAAGCTTTTGGAATTACTGTGTTTGAAACACGGAAGACCTTCCTCCTGAAAAATGGCCCAATGTTAAATACACTTAAGCCCAGTAAAGCCAATGGGCAGAAGGACTGTATGCTCTTTTTGAGAGATAATAGAGTGGTCATTTATGTTTAGGATAAATTTGTAATGTTCTGCTGCTTTATTCAAACAGACCATAGAACAATTTGCTGGAAAGAAAAACAGCATTCCACTATAAAGAAAACTGGAACGCTATCCAAGATATGTTGACTATCTACATTTTCATGGGCAGAGTCTTACCAATGAGTACAGACAGATTTTTCATAAAATGAAGTCAAACGTTACATGTTAACTCTTATTAATTCACTGTATGCTTTGGCCAACAGATTGTTTTCTTGTTAACAGCCATATCAAAGGGTGAAAAAACCCAAACATTTCCTTATTGCCACCCCTATTACAAGAATTGTTTGATTTGCAACCTTCTTTAAAAATATACATTTTACAATCCTAGTACCTCAACAAAAAGTGAGACAGAATAAATAAAAGTTTTCATGGCCCTATTCTCTTCTGATTTCAAAACTACCTGTTGTAAGCCCTTTCTTTTTTAGATTTTTCCAGTGCTTTGTCCATTGTTTTCTCATTTTCTCCTCTACATTTGGGACAGTACCACTTCCCCTTTGGTTTATGATTGAGTCCCACACATGAGAAGTGAAACCATTCGATTGGGCATTCGTCGTTATCACAGCCTATCATTTCTCCATAGGAGACCTGGTTACAGAGACAGTAAGTTGGCTCATTGGGATCAATAGGGAGGTCTGCTGGGGAAGCCTCCCTCTCTGCTTTGGCTTTAGACCTCTTCTTTTTCTTGGAGGTTTTTGCTTTCTTTTCCTTTGGAGTTCCTGAGGTGATGTCATCATGATCATGATTATTAGAAGCATTCTCCCGGTTTTCATTATTTCTTTGCCTCCTGGATCGTTTGTTGTTTGGCTTCTCAGCCTGAGTGATTGTCTCGTTCTTTGACTTGTCTTGATTAGCTTTGCCACTGTTTCCAGTGGTGTCATTCGTCTCTTGGCAAGTCTCAAACAGTTCTCCATGACTGTCAAGTTGCCTAGTTCTGTTCTCCACCAGGTCTACCATTTGGCTGACAATCTGAATCTTTTCATCCCCCAGTTCCTGACTCCGGATCAGTGATCTCTGTATACAGTGCAGGACCCTTCTCTTTTGTACTGCATCAGTCTCTCGTTTGAACTTTTCATAATAATCATCCAGTTCTTTGAGGATCTCTGTGAAAGAAGAATAAGATATGATATTTGTTAGTCTTATATATATCATAGCAGAGCCCCCCAGTCAGAGATTTAGTGAAGGGGAAATGTCTCAAAATTTCTCACAATCTAACTGCTATGGTTTTAAATACAATACAGCCCCGTGTGGCGCAGCAGATTAAACCACTGAGCTGTGGAACTTGCTAATAAAAAGGTCGGTAGTTTGAATCCGGGGTAGCCTCTCATGGTTAGCTACAGCTTCTGCAGTTTGAAAACATGCAAATTTGAGTAGATCAATAGGTGCCACTCCGGCGGGAAGGTAACAGTGCTCCATGCAATCATGCCAGCCACATGAACTTGGAGGCGTCTATGGAAAATGCCAGCTCTTCAGCTTAGAAATGGAGATTAGCGCCCCCCCCCCCGAGTCAGACACAACTAGACAATGTCAAGGGGAAACCTTTGCCTTTACAGTTGCCTGAAAGCACTTAAATATATTGCCCTGCTCTCATAGGAATGTACTTGAATCTTGTATCTCTGGTCCACATCATCTAAAGCAGGGCTTCTTACAATGCCATTACAGATAAAAGGATAACATGAATTCAACATTTCCTGGTTTATTTTATCTAGTATACTAGTTCTTTAGTCCAGGACTTCTTAAACTTTTCCATTTGCGATCCCTTTCAAACTGAGAAAGTCTGAGGGTATATAGATGAGTAAAATAGGTATAAAAGTCAAAGCTTTAAAGATAACAACCCAATATTTGCAACGTTTGCTAAACAGGTTATTTTCCTTTTTATTAAATACAGCTGAAGCATCTTTTGTACTGTAAACACTACACAACAGATTCCTGTAAATATCTATTACTGCCACTAGGTGATGCTCAGAAATCTTTTACTATTGCCAAATTTTTGGGACCCCATTTGGGTCAAGACTCAGTTTGTGAAGCAGTGATCTAGAGTCTGGTGCAGGGCCACCAGATCTGGGGACTGGGATTTGGAAAAAAACTGTCTAATCCAAATAAAGCAATAGCTGTGATTCTGGAGGGCCTCTGGCCCTTTTCCGTTTGTGAAAACTGTTTCCACATTGTTAATTTCCTTCCTGCAGCTTGACAAATTTTTCTGGCTTCCACTTTTGCCCCTGGCAGTTTGCTTCATTTTTGGTTTCGGTACACGTTAAATGCCTTTTTAATCTTTTCATAGTTTAATTAATTTACAACATTTATATGTCGCCCTTCTCACACTGAAGGGGACTTAGAGTGGCCTACAAGTTATATGTACATACAATCTATTATATTATTAGCATAACACATATTGTACTATACCACTATATTGTGATATTACTAGTAATATTACATGCAATATAGAATAAGTATTTTTTATATTACATGTAATATTACTAGTAAGATTACAATATAGTGATGTAGTACAATAATTAATATTGCATTATTATTATATTGTATTACATTAGAATATTATTATCAATATTATATGTGTATGCAATATATCATAATATTAGCACAGCACAATATTAGTTTTACTATATTGTTGCTGCGGGAGGGGTTCCCAACCAATGACTCAGAAAACATGGTGGAACTCTTTCTTCCTGGTTCCCACTCTTTCTTCTGGCTCCAGAGCGGCAGTTGGTGCTTGGGGGAGGGGCCCCCAACTGATGACCGAGGTGACATGGTGGAATTCTGTCTTCCTGGCTCCCCCTCTTCACTCTGGCTCCAGAGCGGCAGTTGGTGCTCAGCAGAGGGGCTCCCAGCTGATGATCCAGGAGACATGGTGGAAGTCTGTCTTCCTGGCTCCCCTTCTTCACTCTGACTCCAGAGCGGCAGCTGGTGCTCGGGAGAGGGGCCTCCCAGCTGATGATGCAGGAGACATGGTGGAACCCCCTCTCTTCGCTAGTTGAAATGACATTGAATCCAGGTCTTCGTTGGAAGGTGAGCATACAACCGCAGCCTCCAGTTAAGTGGGCCAGTTTCTCTCACATGGTGAAGAGGACGGTTAGGACACAGTCAATGCCTGAAGTTGAGCCAAAGGTGTTGCACTTCCCTCTGCCTAGGCCAGGCATGGGCAAACCTCGGCCCTCCAGGTGTTTTGCACTTTAGGTCTTACAATTCCTGGGCTCAGGCCTCTTCCTTATCCCCCCTCAGCCGCTTAAGTTTTCTGGACTTCAACTCCCACAATTCCTGGCCTGAGGCCCCTTCCTTTTCCCCCTCAGGAATTGTGGGAGTTGAAGTCCAGAACAACTGGAGGGCCAAGGTTTGCCCATGCCTGTCCCAGGGATACCCGAGTGAGCATTAGGAGAAGCTCCTTCTTCCTTTTCGTGGTTGGGCAAGAGGACTTCCTCCGTGTTGCACGTAAGAAGTCCCGCCTGCCGCCCGCCCCTCCCTAAACAACCACGCCACGTCGAGAGAAGCCCCGCCTCCTGCGCACGCCCTGGCAGCCCCGCCAACAGACTGGCGAGGGATGACACTGGCCCCGCCCCTTAACGGTCACCGTCAGTCGCGCGGCCGAAGGGGCGGGGCTACGGCGGAGGAGAGCCCGCTCCCCCTCCAGCCACAATTCCGGGAGGCGGAGCCATGCTGCAGGAGCGGGAATGGGGAAGGAGGCGCCCCGCCCCTTTGCCATGGCATTGGAAGAGGCACCTGCCCGTCACTCCTACCAGTTGGCGTTCAGCGTGCCTTCGTCCCTCCTCCTCCACAGTACAAGAGGAGGCCCCTCCCCTTCCCTGCCTGTTGGGCCTCCATTGTTCTTAGAAAGGAAGTGGCGCGTTAAGAGTTTGAGCGTTTGTGCGCGTTTTCCCTCCCTTTACATCCGTCTCCAACCGAAACGCCAGGACCCGAATCCACGCAGCTGGCCAATCAACTTCTGAGAACCTGCCTCCATAGAATCTGGCCAATCAGAAGACAAGATGACGCCGATAGCCCGCCCTCTGCCTCGACAGCATCCCCACCAATCACAAGGGAAAGCCCCAGCCGAGTTTCCGCCTCTTTTTGCATCAACATGCCAATCAGGTGTGGAAAGCAGAACTACGGGCAGCCCTCATTTTTCACTTCGACCTGTCAGTCAGGGCGAGGCGCTAACGCTTCCTGCAACGAGGGGAGCCAATCCTCCGCCGAGCAGCCGACGGGGCAGTTCGAACTATTACAACAAACCTCCCCCTGCTGCTTCCCGCCCCGCCCCGCCCCCTCCCACCATTCGCGTTCGTCAGCGTCACTGGAAGGCCGAATCATTGAGCAAAGGGGGCGGGGCCTCGGCGGCTTCATGAGGGGAGCTCCAGCCAATAACGGCGCGGGGGGCGGGGCCAGCACAATAGGGTAATGACGCTAGGCTATAAAAGCGGCTGTGACGGCGCCTTTTACTCTCTTTGCTAGAGCTCCGGCGCAGAGGCGCCTCCCTTTAGCGCAGTCGAGTGCTTACAGCGAGTAGAAATGCCCGCCCTTGTCCTTTCACAGTGTCCCCCCCCGCCCTCCCTCCGTCCCTCGCTCGAACTGGCATTCACACCCTCAACTTAATACGTACCCCCCTCCCCTGGTTTCCTCACGATAGGAAACCTCCCAGGTCTGGGGCATAACACACTCAAACCGTTGAGGGGAGGAAAGGGGGGCAAGAAGAGCGTGTGGACGGCGGCGGTGTGTCACCTCTACTACAGAGGGACACTTTCCTCTTCCTCCTCCTCTGCTCCCTTCAACTCCTTTCCCCCCTCAAGTGACAAAGAAAGGACCTTCGGAAAAGCCCTCTACTCCCTTAGCAAAGCTACCATTGATTCCCCCTCGCTTGGGTAAAAAGGGGAAAGAAGGGAAGGGGAGGGCCGAGCAGGGAAAGCTGCAAAATAAGGAGTTTCATGAAGGGGGAGAAGAGAGAGAGAGAGGAGCACTGCCAAGCAAGCAGCACATCCCCAACCCACACACTATTTATATAATATCTCTTTCCCCCCTCCACTCCAAGAGATGGCTCGGAAACCCAAATCCCATTGAAAAAAAGCACAAAAGGAAGAGGGGGCGAAGGGAGCCAGCCCGGCCCCCCTTTCCCCACTCTCCCTCTGCTACTACCAGCCATTGCTGGGAAGGCTAGCAAAGCCCCTTCCGTGGGGAGAAAGGAAGGGAAGGCGTCCTTTTCCTTTCAGAAAACACTCTCCAAAGGAGGGAAGAGAAAGAAAACCCCACGCGTCCCGGTGCCCTCGCCCGCCCTTCCCTCCCTCTCCCTCTGCCCCTACTCTTGCCCAGAATCAGAACCATAATCATAATAATAAAGAGGAAAACAATACAGCAAGTCCTTGCTGGAGAAGAAGAACCCAAGACCTTTTGTTGTTCCAGCCCCAAAGAGAGAGAGAGAGAGAGGGAGGGAGGGAGGGAGGGAGAGAAAGCCGAGAAAAGGGGGGGGGGACGGCGACAAAAAGAGCTGTAGCTGCAGAGCAACCCCTTCTCAAACCTCTCCAAATTAATACAAAAGCAAAGAAGCAAAGAGAGGCTTTAGAGGTTGAGAGGGGAAGGAAACAGTCACATAAAGGGGATCTTCATCTAAAGAAAGCAAGGCAATCCCTGTGTAGCAGCTTCTCTTTCTGTCTCCTCGAGCACTTTACCTTGGTATTTGGCGTCGATTTCCCTCATCAGGGAGACATTTCTCTGCAGATCGAAGGGCAGGGATTCGATGGAGTCCATGTAGTCTTCCACATAGTTGGCCAAATGGAGCTGCTCCCCGCCGCCGTTTGCAGGGTTCAACATTTTCATCCGGGCGAAAATAATAAAAGAGATTGTCTCTTTCTCTCCCTCTCTCTCTTTCCCCTCCCTCTTTTCTCCCCTTTTCAAGCCAAAGGAGGAGTCCCCGAAATCAAAAAGCAGGAGAGCTACATCGGAGTCTTTTCTTCTTCTTCTTCTCCTCCTTCTTCTGCTAAGATCAGGCACAGTCGGCGAGTCAGTCCCTCCTACAGCTGACTGAATGGCTGTCGCTGACTGTAGGAACAATCAGAGGGATTTGTGTGTCTGAGGAGGGAGGGAGGGAGCTCTTAAAAAGCCACAGAGAGAGAGAGAGAGATACGATCGGAAACAGGGAGGAAAGAAACACCCGGCGAAAAGGAGGAGGAGGAGGAAACAAAAAAAATAAATAAAAGAGAGTGAGTGGAGCCGCTCCTGTTCCGCCCGCGATGTTATTAATGCAGCCTTTCTCTCTCTCTCTCTACGCCGCACTTGATCCAACGTGGAAAACCCAAATACCAGTTTCAAACACTTGGGAAACATTCAGCCCCGCCGCCCAGTGCGCATGCGCAGCCCTCCCCGGCTCCCGCTCCTCCTCCTCCCCCGCCCGCCCGGAACCGCGCTCTTAGTGTGGCTCGGTTGCGGCAAAGGGCAGCCAGGCGCTTCCACTACTGAGCGGGGGTCGCGGGGCCGTGTGAGAGGAGCCCCGTGTGTGTCTATGCGTCTGTGTGTGTGTGTGTTGGCCGGCCTGGGCGAGCCCCTCGCGGGGTGACAGCGGGTCGCCATGAACTTCGGAGGAGTTCCTTCGCAACCTGCGGCTCCTTTATTGCGGCCCCTCGCAGAGGCGCGTGAGGAGGGCACGGCTGGGGCGCTCTCCCGCTTCCCTTTCGGAGGACTTTCCACTTCCTCCCCTTCCCCTCCTTGAAACTAACCACCCGAGCAACTGCATCCATAATTGTGAGCCAGGGACAGGCAGCTCTCCTGGCCAATCAGGCTCCGGTTTGTGCCCCGCCCCTCCTCTTCACTACCCAACGGAGAGGCGCAGCTTGTGGACCCGGAAGAGAGGGAGAAGCGGCGAGGAAGGAATCCAGCGCATGCGCAGACCTCATCCACAAGGCGATGAGAAAATGGAGGCCGATGGGGAAGCGGGGTGAACTACATTTCCCGGCAGGCCTCTTTTTTGTGCGACTGAGCCTGCGTGGGAATCATTGCGGTTCGAGCGGGGGCAGCTCCGGTGCTTTTAAGGTTGGCTGATCTTAAAATCCGAGCACACCCAGCTGCAGAAAACAAAAGGGGGGAAGAAACGTGGATCCCGACCCCTTGGAGAAGAGGAAGCTCTTGGATGAGTTCGTTTAGACATAGGCCTTTTCCTCTCCGTAGCCTTAGAATGGATAGGTAGTGGGTTCCAGTGAGTTTGCCAGGTTGTACTGACACGTTCCAGAAGCATTCTCTCCTGACGTTTCGCCCACATCTATGGCAGGCATCCTCAGGGGTTGGGAGGTCGGTTGGAAACTAGACAAGCGGGGTTTATATATCTGTGAAGTAATGTCCAGGGTGGGAGAAAGAACTCCCACCAGCAGACCTCACAAACTCTAAGAATGCCTGCCATAGATGGTGAAACGTCAGGAAAGAATGCTTCTGGAACATGGCCATACGGCCCAGAAAACTCACAGCAACCCTGCGTCATGAAAGCCTTCGACAACACATTGATAGAAAGTGTTTGCTTTTAGATCCACCAACTCCATAGTAAGGCCTATTGAGCCCAAAATGATATATTTAGACCCATGTAACGATGTGACTGATTGGGGCGTGGAAAACCTTCAGGAAACCCTAAATGCTCCAAAAAAAAAATCTCAGGTTACCCAAAAAGTGGGGCTAGAAAGTGACAGTTTTGTTTTCTGGTGGTTCAATGTGCATATACTTTATTTCGTGCACAAAAGTATTTAAAATATTGTATACAAATACTTTAAAACCATGTGCATAAGGTGTATACGAAACATAAACAAATTCCGTATTCAGGCCTGGGCCCCATCTTCAAGGTATTTCATGAGGCAGGTATTCAAAAATAATAATAGAAAATATGAAACACAAAACACGTCTGGTCTCAAGCTTTTTGGATAAGAAAAAAAAGCAAAGTTATTTATTATATGTATTTATTACATATTTTTTGCTAACACTAAAAATCATACAATCTGTAAACTTAAACCAAAAGCATATAAACATTAAAGGAGAATTAAATATAGGACTATTAAAATACATAGATAAAACTGCTAAAAAAGCTAGCAAAATGGCTAATTTGATGAACCACTCCTGTCCAGTGAAGGTGCCTAAGAAGAAGAAAAAAACAATAGAGAGCTTTTTTTTTATAGCCACACTGTAGGACTTCCAACATTTCCTGTTATTTAGACATTGCATTGCTGGTTAAAAAAGAGTTAAGCTGTATAGGACCTGCCTCATTCTAGTGCCCTCCAAATTAGCTGCTACACTGGCTATATAAGATGGGAGCTGAAATCTCAGAGATTTGTGCCGTAGAAAGGCAAAATAGAAGAATAATGCCAAAAATATGAGTGACTTGGGCAGCTCTAGCCTCCCAAGAGCTTGCTTTTCAGTGTGAAAGCATATAATTCCGATTGATTTTCAGAATTGCAATAGGAAGGCTGCCATTTGGGAGAGGGAGTAGCTGCCAGATTTAAAGCCAACCCCCCCCCCCCCCCAAAGAAAGGTAGACACAGAAGCTCCACTTCATCTGCAGAGCAAGAAAAATCAAATCAATCTACAGGATACCTCTGATTATTTTCCTCTTTTTCAAAGCAGGATTGAGACGCACCCTCTCCTTCCACGCATACCGATTATTCCCAGTGGCATCTTCCAGTGGCATAACCAAAGTCTTCCTTAAATGCGAATGACTTCTATTATTTCCAGACGAAGAAGTTGGAAGAAAAGGGCAAGTCATGAAAGACAGTCTTTCCCCTCTACATTGTGGCAATCCAGGGAGGGAAGGAAAGGGGAAACCTTTGCAAGGAGGCACTTCCTTTATTGCTTTCTTGGGAGGCTGAATCTCCTTCTTCAGCCACTGCTTACTGAGCCAGGATGAAAGAATGGATTTCGCTATAGGAAGAAAGGAGGAGCTACTCCAAAACCACAGCGCTTTGTTGTCTTCCAGCTTTTCCACTGATGACCATTAAGTAAGTCTCTCCTGATTTTTCTGGATCAAGCAACTAGGGCAAGCATGTCTGTAAATTTTAACTCCCACCTCCCCAGATTCACACTGGAAGCCACAGCCTGTCATTTGTGAAATTGGCTCTTTCTGCACCTGGCCTTCGACCATCTCCTAGATCTTTTAGGTGAAGCAGGAAACCTTAAAGGATGCCCCCAGTTTTACAAGAAAAAGGATATGTGCAAAAGTAACTCTGCTGCCTAAAGACTGATCAGGGATAAGAAGGCCTTTTCATATTTCAACAGAAGGGATTAAGTAAATACCATGTACAGTATTTATAATGTTCCCTTTTTACTTTTTCAGTCTAAAAGCTATTTATCACTTTATTCTTCTTTGGAATACTGTCATTTTTTTTCTGGGTGCCACAGTTCAAGAACAATATTGATAAGCTGGAACATGGTGAAAGGAAGGCAACTTAAGATGGTAAAATGTCTGGAAATCATGTTCTATGACGAAAGGCTTAGGGAACTGGGTGTGTTTAGCTTAGAGCAGTGGTTCTCAGCCTGTGGGTCCTCATATGTTTTGGCCTTCAACTCCTAGAAACCCTAACAGCTGGTAAACTGGCTAGGATTTCAGGAAATTGTAGGAGCCCCCGGTGGCACAGTGGGTTAAAGCACTGAGCTGCTGAGCTTGTTGATCGAAAGGTCCTCGGTTCGATTCCGGGGAGCGGCGTGAGCTTCCGCTGTCAGCCCTAGCTTCTGCCAACCTAGCAGTCCGAAAACATGCAAATGTGAGTAGATCAATAGGTACCGCTCCAGCGGGAAGGTAACGGCGCTCCATGCAGTCATGCCAGCCACATGGCCTTGGAGGTGTCTACGGACAACGCTGGCTCTTCGGCTTAGAAATGGAGATGAGCACCACACCCCAGAGTCAGACATGACTGGACTTAATGTCAGGGGACTACCTTTACCTACCTAATATAGAACTATAGGCATTAGAACTTGAATCAGTGTATCCAAATTGATATTAAAAGTTGTTTGGCTGTGAAATCATCTATCTCTCCTTCTTTGGGGGTCTTTAAACAGAGGGCCATCTTTAAGAAGTGCTTTAGTTGCGTCTTCCTGAATAGCTGAGGGTTGGGCGAGACAGCCTCAATGGTCCTTTTCAACTCTTGGATTTGCACTAGCTTGGGTCTCTTAGGTTTCAGCACTTAATGTTAATCAAATATAGACACAACGAGGCAAAAAGATAAAAGATGATGAACGACTGGATCACATCTGTCTGGGAATGAGTCTCATTGACAGCAATTGGCATCTCTGGAGTGAAGGATGCTTTTAAAATTTAGCCAAGTGGTGTTTTAAATGTGGATGAACTTCCCAGAAGTTGCTTGTGGGACTCTGTTCCAGTCTGTTTGCAGAGCCCTGTTCACCATCATCTCAGATAAGAAGAGGAATAGCATCATCTCTTATGTTAAGCTGGAGATGTGAAAGCATTTAATAAAATAAGTAGGACATGTCATCAGCAATAATACCCATTACTAGGTGGTGGGGATATTCCAGAGTGAGAATTAAAGGACTTCTAACTGCACATGTGATTTAGGTTTGTGCTTTAGTTGACTTTCAAAAAATGTAGCTTTCAAAAAATGTAGCTTTTGAGAAACTTCTGGAGATGCAGTAAAATCTCATATGGGGGAAACAGTTAAAAGATTATCTGATAGGAAATTTATTTCACTGGATACAGTGGAGACGAAATCAAGATGATACGGTGCACTGGATACATAAAGGACTGAGACGGATTTTCGGACAGCAAAATAAGCAGGGTATTTTTTGTGGTACATTTTAAAAAAAAAAGTTAAACTTCACGGCCAAGTATTTCATGTTTGCTCAGAGATTAGCCCAAATGTATTTAGTGGAACTGGTTTGGATTTATACTCTAAATAAGCTAAAGTTAACCATGTCTGATTAAGAAGGGATTTGGAATCTGTTTTTGGAACCAAAAATATTGAGACATACTTTTTTGGTAATGCTATGAGAACCTCTAAAAATTGACATAGTTTAGGGGCCCAACATGTTTTTCTTAGTCCAGCCTTAAATGGAGTTTCCTTCCTAATACATGTATTTAGGACTCCAGCCTTGATCTTACTGAGTTTGAGGATATTTACTCCCAAATAAGCATATTTAGGATTACTGCCTTAACTAGTACAACCAAGAGCCAGGGCATCTCTCCAGGGATTGAATAATTTTAAACTGGTCTACTGTAATGGCACAAAACAAATGTAGAGATAACCGTTTTAGTACATTTTCCCTCTGTAAAAGTGTATTTTGGGAAGGCACCCTTCAAAGATTAAAAATGTTAAGATATAATAAACCAGGAAATGTTGAACTCAGTCATGACACTCCCTTTCTGTAATCACATTATAACATGAAGGGCTGCATTTCAAACTTCAGTATTCAAAAATCAAATGTTATATTAGTCTTTCATTTTGCCCACTCTAGAAAACATCTTTATCCTTTTAAAAAAAAGATTCTGAGAATGGATAGATTTAATAGCTACTGTGGGTCTCACTCGAGAGAGAGAAATGGGGGTATTACTATATGTGTATTATTTTTTTTAATGAGTTGTTAGTTTGTAAACTTTGTTGTGTTGGGCTTGGTCCCACTTGTAAGCTGCCCCAAGTCCCTTTGGGGAGATGGTGACAGGATATAAAATAAAGTTATTATTATTATTCTATTATTATTGCTATTTTGGTGAAATGTTTGTGTGATTCTGTCAGTCATTTAAAAAAAAAAACCCAAATCTTATTAGTAGACTTCAAATAAGGATTGCTTTTTTTTTTGTCATGTCAGGAGCGACTTGAGAAACTGCAAGTCGCTTCTGGTGTGAGAGAATTGGCCGTCTGCAAGGATGTTGCCCAGGGGACGCCCGGATGTTTTGATGCTTTATCATCCTTGTGGGAGGCTTCTCTCATGTCCCCGCATGAGGAGCTGGAGCTGATAGAGGGAGCTCATCTGCGTTCTCCCTGGATTCAATCCTGCGTCCTGTAGGTCTTCAGTCCTGCCGGCACGGGTTTAAATTAAAGGAAGTCAGGTGGATTCATACATAGTTCTAATTTACAGTCTTAGGCTGCAATACAGTTCAAGTACAGAAAAATTGTTATTGCTTGACTTCAAGTCATTTCCAGCATCTGATGTCCATAAGGCAAACCTAGACAGGTTCTCCGTAGGCTTACTACAAGTGAGACATGAGTAGAAGGTACATGGCAATAACAAGACGAAAGCATTTGGTTAGTTACTGCATGGAAGACCACCAGTGAATACTAGTTACTGTGGGCTATACTTCAGAGGAAGATAGTGTCAAAACTATATCTGAATATTCCTAAGAAGCCCTATGGAAAATTAATAAGTCTCCAGGTGACATGATGGTGTGGGAAACACAAATAAAGCTGATGCACTGAGAAACATAACAAAAGTGTCAAATTGCTTCAGTGAATTCCGAACTGGGGATAAATACCAAAGAATAATTGTGCACATACAGCTCTTATTCCCCAAAGTACCACCCAGTGTGGTCATGTTGAAAATTACAACCTTCTTCAAGCCGCCTGTAGTAATTTGTTTATCTATAATCCTGTTGCTTAATGCATGTATGTTCTGGTATGCAGCTTTCTTTCCTTGCTCTGTGTTTTCCTGAGAAGCCTTGGGAGGGCCTGCAGATCACATGATCCGCTCTGAGACTAGCACAAAGCACCGACTTCTTTAGACTTTGGGGCTGCTCAGATCGCAGACTTGCAAATGCTTGCCTGCTGTTTGTTGTAAGAGAGATATTCTGACCGGATGGCACAGAAACTATCTCAAACATATCTGTAACTGACTGATAAATTGTGCACCTGCGTATGCTGAACACATAAAGATTGTGATTAAACCAAATATGTTATTTTTGTATACTTTATTTTGTTTCATGAGTGCATAATATAGACAAGTTGTTCTATGGGAGAGTAGATCTATATTTTGGGCACTGAAAAACATTTCTGAAGAACTACTATTTTATGCACTGGCATATTCTTTGTTTTCCTAAAAGATGAGAGACAACAGGTTGTTCAGCCTAACACTGAAGCCAATTGCCTTGCATAATTACATTTGGTTGTACAGCACTTGAGAAGATTCTACTGAAACGGGTTATGATCTCTAAAAGGTCATGCTTTTCTAAAAAGTCACACATGGAGGCCTGATGGGGTTGTGAAAGAGTGACATGTGACACCACAAGCTCAATTGTCAACTTCCAAGTCCTAAGAAGAGAAACGTCTGTTCCAACATTTCAAGCCAGGTTTACAACACTTGTGCATCTTAGACTGTTGGATCAATACAATTTGATGCCACTTGGAATTGTCATGGTACAATGTGATGGAATCATCGGGTTTTGTAGTTTGGCAAGACACCAGTCTTATTAAAGCAAAGAAGACTGAAGACTGTCTAAAACTACAACTCCCAGAATGCCACAGTATTGAGCCAGGGCAGGTAAAGGGGTATCAAACTGCAGTCATTCGACAGTGATTGTAGAGGCACACTTAGAGAATGATATAAAGTGTTTCATAGACCACAGCAATAAGCAGTGTATTTATTTTTGTATTTATAGTAAACATGTTTTTTCAAATGTAAGCCCCACTGCATTTTAGGGGGGCAGATGCCCTGGAAAAGTGTACAGTTTGGGGGAATATATAAGTATATGTGTGTGTCTATATATGTGTGTGTGTGTGTGTGTGTATCTATACACACACACACAAGCTGTCCCTTGCCATGCATTGCTGTGGCCCAATCTGTGTATATGTGTTTTGTGTGTGTATATGTCTGTGTATATTTGTGTTTGCGTGTGTGTGTGTGTGGTTTTGCACATGCGTTGTAATGTATTTTTTCTTTTTGCCTTTAAAGTCTCCCCTGCTGTGTTTTTCAGTGTTTTTATGAGTGACGGTCACTCGCTGGCTTGAAATGTGTTTTGTGTCCAAATTTGGTGTCAATTCATCCAGTGGTTTTTGAGTTATGTTAATCCCACAAATGAACGTTACATTTTTATTTATATAGACATATATAAACAAACACACACACATACACAGGGTGTCCCAAAAGTCTTATACACAGGGAGACTTCACAAATTCAAAATGTGTTTTTTATATTTTTGCATAATTTTGCAAATATTTAGCAAACTGTTGTATTGAATCTTTTGTAAGTAAAGGCACGTTTAGCTACAGTTCCCCAGTATCTCTATGTAAGGCGACTGGTCTGCAGGCCATAATTCTTCCGTTAACTCACACGGATAGGACTGGGCTGTTGGTCAGATCAGAATCTACCTCGCTTTATGCTCAGTGGAAAACCGGGCAGAGATTGCCAACCGGCGGCCACCCGAGCTGGCGGCACGGAAAAAGCTGCAGGAAAGGCGCCCGAGCTCCTCCTTTTCCTGCTGGGCTCCGGCTGTAGCCGAGGGCTCGCTGTTGTTGCCGGCGTACAGTCAGCAGCGGCTGTTGTTGTTGCTACAGGCGACGAGGGCTGTTCCGCTGGGCAGGCGCGAGGAGGGAGGGGGCGGAGAGGGCGGAGAGGGGGAGGAGCCAGAGCCTCGCCGCCTGCCTATTGGCCCGCCTCTCTTCCCTTCCTGCCACGCGGGCTGGGCCTCGTCCTAGGAAGCGTCCTGGCAGTGGTGCGCATGGTTCGCGCTGGGCTGCTGCAGCTGGTGCTCCTGGGCCCGGCCCGGGCCCGCCTCCTCCGAGCCGGCTCTCCTTCCTTGCAGAGGATGGGCCTCTCCTCCGGCGGCGCCAAGTGGCTCCAGCCCCGCGGCCCTGAGAGCGGCATCCTGACCTACAACAGCCTCAGCAAGAGCAAGGAGCCGCTCGTCTTGAGGAACCCCGATGTGGTCACTTGGTAGGAGACGTTTCGGCATGGACTTGCAGCTTTTGCAGGAAAGGAGGCTCGTTTGCCTTCCTGGCGGGGTTTGGAATAGAATCACCATACCAGGCTTCCTGGCAGTGAGGATGCTGCAATGGGGTTGGGCGACCTTATTTCTTGACAGTGCATCTACACTGTACAGTTAATGCAGCTTGAAAACGTTATAACTGCAATGGCTCAATACTATGGAATACTGTAAGTGAAGACATCTACACAGTATTATTATTATTATTATTAATAATAATAATAATATTGCACTCTCCTCTCTTTACCAAGACTCAAAAGTGGCGCACAACGTTAAAAATGATACATTTTGAAGCCTACAATATATAAATAGAATTAAACACAGGATTTATTCAACAGGTCGACTTAATACTGTAAACTCTCTACATGCAGGTGAGGGCAAGTCAGGACCTTTCCACACAACCATATAACCCAGAAGATCAAGGCAGAAAATCCACATTACCTGCTTTGAACTGGGTTATCTAAGTCCACGCTGCCATATATCCCAGTTCAAAGCAGAAATTGTGGGATTTTATTCAGCTCCTTCTACACTGCCATATAAAATCTAGATTATCTGCTTTGAGCTGGATTATATGGCAGGGCAGACTTATATAATCAAGTTCAAAGCAGGTAATGTGGATTATTGGCTTTGACAATCTGGATTATATGGCAGTGTAGATGGGACCTTGGGTGCATCAATACTGTAGAATGAATGCAGTTGGATACCTCTTGAATTGCCATGGCTCAATGATTTGGGATTCTACAAGTTGTAGTTTGGTGCAGCGAAAGCACTCTTTGACTTGAGAAGTCTAAAGTCCTTGTAAAACTACAATTCATGCAGTTTGGTGCCACTTTAACTGCCATAGCACTGATATATGGCAATTAAAATGGTGCCAAACTGTATTCATTCTACAGTGAAGAGCTAGGCTAGGATTCTGGGAGACAAAAGTTGAGATTCCCAGGGCCTTTCTGCACAGCCAGAATATCAAGGCAGAAAATCCTACAATATGTGCTTTGAATTGGGATATCTGAGTCCACACTGCCATATATTCCATGGTAAAAATATGATGTGGATCCTTAGCATATTGAGAAAAAAGCTGGTCTCCATATCAGATAGTTGTAGGGCTCTTCCAGACAGGCTCTATATCCCAGGATCTGGTCCCAGGTTTGTTTATCTCAGATTATCTGGCAGTGCAGACTCATATTATCCAGTTTAAAGCAGAAAACATAGGATCATATCCTGGGGTATAGGGCCTGTCTGGAAGGTCCCTACATTATGTAGGACACACCCTTTGAATGATGGATTTAACTTCAGGAGCAAATAGGGAATAGTCCGTTAATGGTGATCAAGTAGAAGGTAGGCCCATGTCAGAGAAGGGTGAATCCATGAAGAAGGTGGGTCAGCAGACCACGACCTCTTGAGTGCCCAAACCAGGCAAGGGCAAGAATGTTTAGACTAAGCTGGTTATTTGGCTAAGATGGGTATTTGTGGTGCACTATTTATTTATTTATTTACTACATTTATGTACCGCCCCTCTCAACCCAAGGGCGACTCAGGGCGGTTAACAATAGGCAACAATTTGATGCCAGAGCAGTTACAACAAAATAAAATAATCATTAATACTATATTAATTATTAATTAATTGATATGAATACTAATTAACACTAGGCATTTTTCTTTGACTTGCCTCAGTCCTAGTCGGTGTGAGGGACTTAGGAGGCCACAGTTGGCCATCTATCCATACATAGAAGCAAGGTTTGGGAGTATTAGCCAGAGGGATCTGGACTCCACTTCAGTTCTAGCAGGGTCTTGCTGTTTTCTTTCACAGAGACCTCTGTGAAAAATTATTGTATTCCACACTAGTCCTAAAGTGTGTGTGTGTGTATATGTATGTTTCGATCAGTGACCAGCACCAAAGTCCTAAAGTAAATTCCAAAACCATAGGCCATTTATTTCTGTATAGTTTGTGGTCGTAGCTTTACAGTCTTGGCACAAAACCTTTAAGCAAGCTTGGCCCTGATGGGGTTGGTAAACCTCCAAGCACATTAATTTGATTTTCTTGATACCCCGCCTCCATGTCTTCCCAAGTATCCTTTGCAAACATTTCCATTTTCCACCTTCATTTAGCTGTTAATTAGTATTTACATTATTTTTTCTTCTTCTTGATAGGTATAGCTGTGGACCAACTGTGTATGATCATGCACATCTTGGGCATGCTTGGTGAGTTTTTACACATCATTTATCTTTATTGATTATATTTATTGAAATAAGCATTTTAACAACTAGGCTAGATATAGAAGAGATTCCAACTTTTAGTATATTAATAGCAGTTGTTATTATACCAACAGTCATAAAATTAAAGTTTCCAGACTGTAGAAGAGTTAATTCTTTAAAATTTTAGGAATCCCCCACCAATGTGACTGGAGCTTCTACATATTCTAGTCCATTTTTTACTACAAACAGGCTTTTTCAACACAAAACAGATCTTTACTGAGGTCCCTTCCACACAGCTGAATAATGTAAAGTGCATTGCAGAAGTCCAACTTTGAGGTTACCAGTGCATGATCTTTATGTCCTCCAAATCCAGGAAGGAGCTCCGCTGGCAAATCAGCTGAAGCTCATAATAAGCACTCTGGACTGTGGCATCTACCTGGGTTGACATTTGGAGAGGCGGCTCTAGGAGTACTCCCAAGCTGCAAACACAGTCTTTCAGGGGGAGTGTAAACCCATCCAGAACCGGTTGACATACATCCAGTCCCAGATTAGGACCCTTGATCTCAAGCACCCCTGTTATGTCTTAATTCAGTTTCAATTTCTTTTTCCTCATCCAGCCAATTACCTCTTTCAGGCATGTATTCAAAGGAGACACACTATCCTTAGCTTTTGGAAGACATGTAAAAATAGATTTGGGTGTCATCAGCATAGTGATAACACTTCATGCCATGCTTACAGATGATCTCTCCTAGCAGTTTAATGTAAATATTAAATACTCACATTGGGGATAGAATGGCACCTTGTGGGATACCACATAAAAGCTCCTCTTTGGAAGAGCAGCTATCCCCAAGCACCACCATCTGGAACCTGCCTGAGGGGTACGACCGGAACCACTGCAACACAGTGTCTCCAATTCCCAGCTCCTCCAGGAATTCCAGAAGGGGACCATGGTCAGTGTTACTGAATGCTGCTGAGAGATCTCGGAAGCACCAACAAGGATACACACCCCTTGTTGATGTTAAGACGGAGATCATCCACTAAGGGGGTCCCCAGATGTTTTGGTCTACACCTTCCAGAAATCACAGCCAGTTTTCCAGCTGATAGGATTTCTGGGAGTTGGAGGGCAAAACATCTGGGGAGCCACAGGTTGAGAACCACTGCACTAAGGTGATCAAGCTGGTTTAAAATGGGTCAAGGAAGTGTTTGTTATCCAAGACTTCCTGGAGCTGTGTCATATCTGTGTCTTAGCTGGACCTGTTAGGCACGTGAGTGCAGAAGGTAGATCAGGAAGTATTTTTGACTCTTATGTAACAATAGCAATAAAATGACTCCAAGTCAGCACGCCATATTGCTGAAACCCTACTGTGCTCCAGCAGTAGGCCAAGCATATATTTTATTTGGAAGAATAGTTACCCATGTTCCGTTTATCTCCTGAGGTCAGAATTGTTTAATTTCAAGTGTGTGTCCTTTCATAATAGGCTCTGGTTGTATGGTTGGAGTCTGACCTTCCCTGATTTATTTATGCCATAATAAATTTAGAATCATTTGAGATTCTGTAGTTCTAGTACACTCACATAGTGATCCTCATTCAGAGGGACTGAATGGCTGGCTCAGCAGCAGTACGTGTGAAAAAGGTCTTGGAATCCTTGTGAACAATAAGTTAAACATGAGCCAACAGTGTGATGCGGCAACAAAAAAGCCAATGGGATTTTGACCTGCATAAATAGGAGTATAGCGTCTAAATCCAGGGAAGTCATGCTACCCCTCGATTCTGCCTTGTCCAGACCACACCTGGAATACTGTGTCCAATTCTGGGCACCACAATTGAAGGGAGATGTTGACAAGTTGGAATGTGTCCAGAAGAGGGAGACTAAAATGATCAAGGGTGTGGAGAACAAGCCCTATGAGGAGCAGCTTAAAAGCTGGGCATGTTTAGCCTTCAGAAGAGAAGGCTGAAAGGAGACATAATGGCCATGTCTAAATATGTGAGGGTGATAGGGATGAGGGGGCAAGCCTGTTTTCTGCTGCCCTGGAGACTAGGGCACAGAACAACGGCTTCAAACTACAGGAAAGGAGATTCCACCTGCCTCGGAGTGTGGTGGAGTCTCCTTCCTTGGAAGCTTTTAAACTGAGGGTGGATGGCCATCTGTCAGGAGTTCTTTGAATGCAATTTTCCTGCTTCTTGTCAGGGGATTGGACTGGATGGTCCATGGAGTCTCTTCCAACTCTATTATTCTATGAGTGTACCTTGTTCAGATCTTAGTGTTGCATTTTTCATCAACCATAACGTGCATGCACCTTTCTTTTCAGTTCCTATGTCAGATTTGATATAATTAGAAGAATAATGACACGCTTATTTGGAAAGGAAGTGGTCATGGTGATGGGAATTACAGATATCGACGACAAAATAATTAAGAGAGCCAATGAGGTAAGTAGTACAGATCTCTAGCTGTGGTTAATTTTTGAATTTTGTTCATCATTAAATCTATTAGATTCGGCTAGTCTTGTGTACAAGATCTATTTTTTTTTGTGTACTTGGGAGGCTGACAATTTGCTTTCACCCCTTTTCCTGATTGATTTTTTTACATCAATTAAAAACACTGCTCGTCTCAAAGCAAGCGCAAGAGTTTGAGATCAGGATGTTGTTCTTGTATGATCTCTTCCTAGACTCACCACTTTTCTCATCTTAATTAAACTGTGGTTGCTATGTGACCAGAGTAGTAAATTGGCTTCGAGCCATGTTCAAAATTTCCTATTGTTTGGCACAACATGACTTGAATGCTTCACTGCCAGAAAATCCTGCTCCACCTACTTACTTCTTTATTTAAACACATTCTATTGATGAATCTTAGTAAATTATACTGTCTTTTTGTCTTCTGCAATAAAATTTTTAATAATACACTAAGCAATTGAAATATTTTGTATGTCAAGAAATCTAATCCCAATTAAGCCATTTGACTCTGTCATGTCTCTTGTACCTTAAGGGGATTCACTTTGTTTTTCACTGCACTGAGATGTCTTACATGTTGCACACAGTTTGTTTCCCTAATTTGAACAGTTGACACACTTTAAAAGAAAAGTTTATTCCTGAGGTAATCCCAGGTCAATATTATATTGACAGCATAATGGTATCATGTTATTATAGAGACAGATTTGGTCATGTGCTGATTCTCACCCCAAATAAGAGGATATCACAATAGTCAATAGTTCTTCTTGTTCAGTCTCCTTCCAAAACACATGGGATTTCCTCATTCCAGTTGGGTTCATCCTGTTGTGTTCTTTGCTCTGAATGACGTGAATATTAAGTCTTTTTAGGAATGTCTGTGATCATGCTGCGTGTTTTTTGCTCACTGCGGCTCAGGAGAGCTGTTTCCTGTCATTCCTGCTTTGCAACATTTAGGGTGTACTTGAAATCCAAGTTAAATTTAAATGAAGGAAAAGATCACTTGTTCTCTATGCCCCAGATCCCCTGACACGTAAGATTTGTATTTTCCTCAAGTGAGCATATAATGAGGCTTCATAGTTTTGTTTTGATATTTTCTTTCACTTTCTCAGCAAGTTGTTAGTTATCCCATGTATATATGTGATTTACCAGTGTGCTCCTTTTTCAAAACAGATGGGTATATCACCATTGACTCTTGCCCGTTTTTATGAGGAAGACTTCAAGCAGGATATGGCTGCCTTAAAGGTACAAACATTTAAGCTGATAAGTTAAACATTTTTGTTGGTTAATGTTTTGATGGTAAGAATCTCCATCTTTGGTCACCTGAGCAATTTATTTTGCCAGGTTTATTCTGATGATGATGATGATAATGATAATAATAATAATAATAATAATACCACAACTGTTTCTGTAGTTGTTTTGCTTCCAGTTGCCCTACAGGCCCTTGTCCTGGTTACTCAGACGTGGGTCCTGGTCCCTGTAGCCCACTAGTCAATGGGTGCCCAGGAGAAGCACTTGCTGCGGTCCTTATTATTCTGGGCGACGACTAAGCTAGTATAGACTTCTTTAGAGTTTGTTTCACCATATATAAATGGGTTGGGTGTACTTAGTTCTACTGCTCAGTTGAGACCACTCTGGCTTGGTTGAACCTACTGGTAGTTTATACTACTGCCAGCACAACTCTTAACATCATAGAAGCAGTTAAGCCCCCCGCCAACGACAAGGTGGCAACCGGTAAAGGGGGGGGGGGGGGAAGGTCAAGGCATCAAGTCTGAAAAAGTTACAGAAAATAAACATGTCAAACTACTCTGGGACTTCCAAATTCAGACTGACAGAGTTTTGGAGCACAATACTCCCGACCTCACGATCGTGTTAAAAAACCAAGTATGTATCATCGACGTTGCAATTCTAGCGACAGCAGAATTGAAGAGAAACAACTGGAAAAGCTGATACGATACGAGAATTTAAAGATCAAGGTGCTCCCCGTGGTGATCGGCACACTGGGTGCAAGCCTAAACACCTTGGCCTGTACATAAACACAATCAGCGCTGACAAAATTACCATCTGTCAGCTGCAAAAGGCCTCTCTACTGGGATCTGCACACATTATTGCTGATACATCACATAGTCCCAGACACTTGGGAAGTTTTCTGACATGTGATCCAATACAACAACCAGGATAGTGATCTTGTTTTCTGTGTACTAATCTTGTTGTGTTTCAAATAATAATACTGTTATTTATATTCCACCCTATTTCCCCAAGGGGACTCAGGATGGATTACAACACACTAAAAACACATAGTGGTAAGCATTCAATGCCTCACCACAAAAACAGACAAGGATACAATTAGCAACCCACCTAAAGGGCTCAACTATCAAGATGCTGACTTGTCTGAGGCCTTATTGGTTGGATAGCCCTTTAAATATGCTTCTAGTCTGCTTAATAATTAATAATTAAAATAATTAGCTCAACATTAACCTTCAGCTTTGCTAGTGTGAATGAAGGCTGTTCGCATTTAGGTTTTAATAAATCAGGCTATTACTTTGTCCTATTATCTCAACCTGGTAGTGACTAATCCATTATGGCTGCACTCTCCATTTTGGCACTAGGCCTACAGTTCAGACCTCAGGGCAAAATCATTGGCTGTAATATCTTATTTTGTCTTGTGCTCCAGCCTCTTGCATTTTGTACGCTTGAGCCTGATGAAGAGATTTGGAGAATTTGAAGCTTACACTGTATTTGGGGACATTTTAATTCATTCCAGCAAAGGTGTGGATTCTGGAGTAATAATATACATTATTATTATTATTTCCCCTAAGGTTCTTCCTCCTACGGTCTATATGAGAGTGACTGAAAATATTCCTCAGATCATTTCTTTTATACAGAAGATCATTGCTAGTGGACATTGCTATGCAACCTCAAAAGGTAGAGAACAGGACATTTATCCATTTATGTCTGTGTTAGATATTAGCATGTTAGATTTGATGTTTTTGGTAATGCTGTTTGTGCCTCACCTTGACAACATCTGCTCCGCCTATTGAACTGCAAATGCATTCATTGTCCTGCAGGTATTCAGGAAGGGCTTGTTTCTCTTCACTGAATTTGGAAGGCTGTTTAGAGGCCATATCAAAGGAAGCAAACAGAGGCAGCAGGCAATTTTGCTAGTTCAGAGTCCACCTACAGCAGCAACTCTTTCCTTCCCTATACTTTGCTATATAATCATGGTCTTGTCTATTTCTCTTTCTATCGGTTTTTGCCTGTCTAACACTTTTTCTATCCTCACAGTTTGATTCTTGACCAAAGTTTAAGACCTCTGCCAAGAAATGTCTCTGACATGAATGCTAAAAGAAATAGACTTGAGATGCCATTTTAAACGTACAGCTAGGCATTTCTACTAAAATAGGCACTAATGTAGGAACGAATATATGCTAATATGGCTGTCTGTTGTCTCATTCTTGTGGTTTTGTGCTTTCTACAATTCTGATTTTTTTTAAAGACCGTCAATACAAAATTGCAAATGCTTTAAATGAATGAGTGTTTTGGATTCATTGATTAAACTGCATGTACTTCTGTTAGTTTCCACTGGGTGTCCATTACATTAAAATCCCTTGCTTGTTCTTGCTACACAGAATAACTTTGCAGAATAGCATTTTGTCATGATTCCTGGCTATAGTGAATGTTATTGTTAGTTCAAGAGGCCCAGTTGTCCTGATGTTACCTTACTCCTCCTCACATTTGGCCCATGGACAGGTCAATTCCCCTGGCCTTTATGTTTATCTGTGTTGGTTGTGGAGGGAATGAGCTGCCTCTGAATCACAAGGACTTCAGCAGATTTCCCTGTTCAGTCTCAGCTAGAACTTAAAAATAATTACTTTTCAAAATAATTCATTTCCATTCTTTGTCGAAGGCTACAGAAAATAATTTATTTTCATGACTTTTTTTTCATCTCAGAAGCGACTTGAAAACTGCAAGTTGCTTCTGGGGTGAGAGAACCGGCCATCTGTAAGGACGTTGCCCAGGGGACGCCTGGATGTTTTACCATCCTGTGGGAGGCTTCTCTCATGTCCCCGCATGAGAAGCTGGAGCTGACAGATGGGGGCTCAACCTGCTCCCTGGATTCAAACCACTGACCTTTCGGTCAGCAGTCCTGCTGGCACAAGGGTTTAACCCATTGTGTCATTTCATGACTTATATCAGTGTTTAAGAGTTAACTAATTGCATTTCATGTGTGCTCTTTATTAGCTTCACATTACCGCAGGAGGCAGGCTTCTCTTGTAATTGATAAGTGTATGGCACAATAATTTAGGAATTTCTGTCATAATGCCTCTAAAAGGATTATTATGAAGTAGTTCTAAAATAAGAATAGGCAAAGTATGACCCTCGACTTTAGATTAAGGGTTGGCATTAGACTCCTAGGAGACCTTGAAAGGCTGTACCTGGACTGTTCCTACTTCAAAATATATAAAATAAAACAAATCAAATATTGTTTTCTCCCTGAAACACTCTTGAGAGGACCTGGAGGCATTTTGACCATTTTCACCATAGTTTGGATGCCTTCTTGGACAAGAAGCCTTTTTAAAATAGCATGAAGTTAGTGTAGATCATTTCCTGTTTCAGAAATGCCTTTCATGTGATAATTTTAAAATATGGAATTTTTAACTCTCAAGATAGTGGGCATATTCTCCCTGCCTATAGAGTGTATTTTAGGACAAAAGAAAAACGAGTGTGTCCACCTTGTTCTGTATCAGTGGTTCCTCAACATTTTTTTTGACCAGGGACCCATTTCACCAAGGACCACTCTCAAACATTAGTACCAAAAGGGTTACAAATCAGAAGACATCACGGCTCTGTTTCACCATTGCCTTACCACCGGTTACTTTCAGTGGGACAATGAATTCTACGAACAGAAAGATGTAGTAGCTATGGGGAGCCCTCTCAGCCCGGTCATAGCTAACTTCTACATGGAACACTTTGAAAAACAAGCCCTGGAAACAGCAACCAAAAAGCCCACGATATGGTTCACATATGTGGATGACACCTTCACCATTTGGAGCCATGGAGAAGAAGAACTCAACAGGTTCCTGGACCATCTTAACAGCATCCACCCAAACATCCAGTTCACCATGGAAAGAAAATGAAGGAAGACTGCCTTTTCTAGATGTCCTAGTCATCCGCAAACCAGATCAACAATTGGGTCACACCGTCTACAGAAAACCCACACACACAGATAGATATCTACATAAAAACTCCAACCATCACCGAAGTCAAAAAAGAAGCACCATTAAAGCCTTGGCAGACCGTGCAAAAAGAATCTGCGAACCCCACCTCCTCCAAGATGAACTGAACCACCTCAACTGGGCTCTCCAGGCCAATGGATACTCCACCTCAGACATCAGAAGAGCTGCAAGACCAAGAACAAGCCACGGGAGTAAAGATGAAGATCCACCCAGAGGAAAAGTGTTCCTGCCATACATCAAGGGAACCACTGACCGCATAGGGAAGCTGATGAGGAAACACAACATACAAACAATCTACAAACCCACCAAGAAAATCCAACAAATGCTACATTCAGCAAAGGACAAGAGGGATCCTCTCACCTCTGCAGGAGTCTACCGTATACCATGCAGCTGTGGACAAGTCTACATAGGGACCACCAAACGCAGCGCCCAGACACGCATCAAGGAACATGAAAGGCACTGCAGACTACTTCAACCAGAGAAGTCAGCCATAGCGGAGCACCTGATGAACCAGCCTGGACACAGCATATTATTTGAGAACACAGAAATGCTGGACCACACCAACAACCACCATGTCAGACTACACAGAGAAGCCATTGAAATCCACAAGCACGTGGACAATTTCAACAGAAAGGAAGAGACCATGAAAATGAACAAAATCTGGCTACCAGTATTAAAAAACTCTAAAATTATAACAGCTAAACAACAGAGAGGAAAAAACCAGGCACAGATTAACACCTCCCAGCAACAGATTTTCCCAGGCTCAGGCAGGCCTTCAAATGCTAATGAAGGTGATCAGCTAAACATTTACACCTAACTGCAGCAGGGAAGAGCTCCTTGCCCCACCCCAGCCATTCCACAGATATATAAACCCATTTTTCCTACTTCCAACAGACCTCACACCTCTGAGGATGCTTGCCATAGATGCAGGCGAAACGTCAGGAGAAATGCCTCTAGAACATGGCTCTATAGCCCGAAAAAACCCACAAGAACCTGGTTACAAATCAGTTTTTGGTCAACTTTAGATTTGGTTTGTTTGTTTGGGGTGCTGATTCAGAAAATTGCATTGGATAAACCACATCAGTTCTAGTTTCTGAACAGAACATATGCCATCCAGTAGTCGCTCTCTGCTCACCCAAAGAAAACCATATTTAATAATCTAGAACTGATGTAGTAGTAGTAATCTTTAGTGGGTAGTCAGCCTCCCCCCTCCTGACATCCCCATTTCCTCGGCACTATAAGAGCGTTTTGTGAGACCAGTCGCTCTCTTTGCCGTATGGTTTTGAGGCAACTGTGCAGTAGTGGTGAGGCTGTGGACCATATGTCCTAAAACATCTGGAAATCTATATGATTTTTACTCCTGCTTTAAGAAGGAGACTAGGAAATGCTGCTTGTGCCACCAGTAAAGCAACTGTGATTTTATTGCATCCTTGCTACAGAAAGAATAATGGCCCACAGTAACTCAAAACAAATAGTTATGTTAAGTATATATTCTAAGCTCTGATCAAGTACAGGATGCTTTATGTAGTGAAAGGGACCATCTCCCCATAGCTTCTGGCACAGGTGGGTTGTGTGGTACCTAGAAAGTGTTGAGGAATTTGTGGATTGCGCCATTTACCATTAGATAACATTAACTTTATAATAAGTCCAAACTGTTTACTTCCAACAGGTAATGTTTATTTTGATGTCCGTTCTAGGGGAGACAAATATGGAAAATTGGCAAATATTTATCCTGATGCTCAAGAAGAACCAGGTATGTAAATGAAGATGTGAACTTGAATCCGAATGCTTTCTTAATGTGCTAATTGGAACCTGCATGAAACTGAAATATATCTGAAATTTGCTGTTGTATGATACACTTCATGTTGATAGATGTTTGAGGCAAACAATCTATTCTGGAGGCTTTCCCTGCATTATAAACAATGGCTACAATGCATACTAAGGAAGTCTCACAGTTTTAACAGTAACTGCATACAGTGCGGTAGACAAATTTTAATCCAAAATGTAACTTGTCCAAATGCTGAGTCTTATTTTGGTACAAATCCAGGGCCAAAATCCAAAAAAGGAGTTCTACCTGTATCAGGCCAACCAAATGTGCACAATACATTATGCAAGCTTTCAGATCTCAAAGGCTTCTTTATGAGTCGTCGTTGTTAAAAGTTATTTTAAGGCTAAAGGGGGAAAGTACGACTTGTATAAATCAGTTCTCCCTCTTTCCCACCAGTGCATTGCCTTTGTCTACTCAGAATGCCCATGCAAAGTCATTCAACAGATGTCTAGATTGCCATGATTTTATTGTATGTTCTAAAATGAGATAATAAGGGTTGAATCGGCACAATCACAAAACTGTAGAATATTGCAATACAGATTTCATAGTAATGATATCAGAACGTGATACAACATGCTTAGTGTTTGTCATTTGCGTCATAGTTAATTATTTGTATTCAAGCTTTACACTCCTTCCTACACCAAAGTGTTTTCGGTGCAAGAAAAAAAAACATGATGTATATAGTGTTCATGCTTTTGAAATGCAGTTGTCATCTTTTTATTTTTAACTTCATCTTCACTGACATATTGCCCCTAATTATTGGCAGTGGATAGTGATAAGTCCCACGTGAAGGATTTTGCTCTATGGAAGGCAGCCAAGCCTCAGGAGATGTGCTGGGATTCACCCTGGGGCAAAGGGCGGCCTGGCTGGCATATTGAATGTTCAACCATATCCAGGTAAGCTAGTCTGAAATCCTTCTGCTTGCCTCTTTTTCAGTATAGAGTAGGAAGCTGCAACAGAGCCACCACACCTTCAGTAGAGTGTGCTTTCCCCCACAAATCTTACATCATATTTCATTTTAAAAGGCAGTTTAATTTTCATTTCTAATGGGGAAGTGTTCATTATTTTTAAATATTATATATAGTTATATTTATTATTTATACAATACTTGTATATTTATTTTGTGTGTGTATGTGTGTGTGTGTGTGTGTGTGTGTGTGTGTATGTGTGTGTATCCCACTTTTCTCAAAAATGAGACATGGGGCATCTTTCAAAGGTTAAAACCAATACAGAACACTTCAAAGCACCTCCAAATACATAAGTAAAACCTTGCAAACAGTCATGCAGTTGACTAATCCAAAATTTAATCTCTTAAAGACAAATACATTAAAAAACCAACCCTAGAGTTTAATCCCTTTAAAGTAAATTCATTAAAAGACATGATAAAAATCGGCTAAACAGCACTCCATTAAAATTCTTAACAATCTGCTGCAACAGAAAGTTTTTGCTTGTCATAAGATAAACCCCTAGGATGCCTGGGAGCAGCCACCAAGAAAGGTCACTTCTGTGTTCATGCCAAATGTGCCTGGGGAAGTAATAGGACTGAGACGAATGCATTTTATCAAAATCTTAGAACCTTTGTGGTTGTATGACTTCAGGTAATCTCTGATTTATGCCAATCCTAAAGGAACCTTGGAGCCCCCATTGGTGTAACGGGTTAAACTGCATGAGCTGCTGAACTTGCTGACCGAAAGGTCGGCGGTTCAAACCCAGGGAGCGGGGTGAGCTCCCGCTGTTAACCCCCTGCCTCTGCCAACCTAGTAGTTCAAAAACATGCAAATGTGAGTGGATCAATAGACCGCTTTGGCTGGAAGGTAACGGCACTCCATGCGGTCATGCCTGCCACATGACTTTGGAGGTGTCTACGAACAACTCCGACTCTTCAGCTTAGAAATGGAAATGAGCACCCCCCCCCCCCCCCCCCCCGAGGCAGACATGACTAGACTTAATGCCAAGGGAAAACCTTTACCTTTTTAAAAGTAACTTTATCCCTGGGTTTTCTGAGTGACTTCCCCAAGTTCAGCCAATGGATTTTCATGACTGAGGGGCAATCTGACTATTGGTCTCCAAAGTCATAGTCCAACATCCAAACCACTATGCCACATCCTCAAATAGGGAGGTATGTCCATCCAGTATCCTAAATATGAGCTATATAGAGCTTTATAGATCAAAATCAAGACTTTGAAGTGTACCCAGAAATGGACTGGCAGCCAGTGGAGTTGTTGCAACCATGGAGTCATATGCTTCCTTTAGGCATCACTGGAGCACAACTGAAATGCCTGTGGGCTTTTCAAAAGCATGTAATCCAAATAGGATGTGAGTAGTGTGCATAACTCTTTTGTATGCATATATATGTTTTAGGATCCACCAAGCAGGTGTCAGTTGACTGACAGCCACTGGATTGTCAGAAGGCAACAATAAGGACATTTATTTATTGGCTTTGAGAGTCACCAAACCATAAACTGTGGTCTGTAATGTGATTGTAGGAGGTTTATAGAAGTAGGGACATGTTTAGGGGACTTTTAGGATCCTGCTCCTTAAACTGTGGGTGCCAACCCCAAATGGGGTGCCCTTAGCTCAACCTTGGGATCACGAAAAATTTGGCAACAGCAAAAGGTTTCTGAACACTATCCATTTACGCAAATCTGTTTGCAAAAATGTGCAGTGTTTATAGCGGAGTGTGCAGAAAATGCTTCAGCTGTACTCCACAAAAAGGAAGTCAACCTCTTTAGTAAGCCTGGCAAATGCTGATTTCTTGCCAATCAGTGCTTGACTTTTGTATCTATTTTATATACCTATATAGCTGGGGTCTTGTAAAAATGTTTCTGGTGGAAAGGGCTTGTGAATAGAAAAGGTTTAAGAAGCCGAAGCCCTGCTCTCGGGGATATGGTGGTGAATGCTGAACAAAGAAACCAGTTTCTTTTGCATTCCAATTATCTCTCCTGACAAAACAGTGATGAAGATGAGAGGAAAGGGGTTCTAGGTAGCAAGCAATGTCTTAGCGATAACAGAAAAAATATATATAAACATGGTACTGTCATCCTCTGCTTTGTGCTGTATGTTCATCCAAGCTGATTGGACTTGCGGAAAGTATTTCAACTAAGACCATTACAGTAGATTCGTTTCTGTGCCTTATAATAAAAATGTGGTGGCTCATAAACAAAGAAACAGAAATATTTTAAAAGTGCTCAGGTTTGTGAAGATTAGTGTGGTTAGTAAGATGGATGGCAAGTGAGAAAAAAAGAAAGTAGATTCCATTCAGATTAGCATACAAAGATTTTTTTTGTGAGGCAGGGATAGATGTAAAATGATTTCAGTTACTCATCATATCTTTTTATTGAAGAGTCAGTTAAACATTTATGGTCCTCCATAGGTAGTTTTGCTTTATCATTTGACAAATTAGTGTTGGTTGCGAGACTATGGTTTTTAGAGCTAATAATAAACTGTTTAAAGATAACAGCAGAGCCATCTAGAGGCAAATGGAAATACTGCAGCATCCAAGGAAATAATTGTCCAAATTTGTATGGTCTCTTGAAATACATGGAAAAGGAAACCATGCACACAAACCTTCCATTCCAGCTTCTCTCACCAGTTGCAAATTGTTCTTTTGAGTCCGAGACAGTTTGCTTCGGAACCTACATTGCTGTTAAATTTAACTTTGGCAAGTTAAAGACCCAACCACTGCATTTCTGACAAATTTTTCATATATTGCATTGGGATTTATTTTTATTTATCGTGTCAGGAGCAGACCAAACAGATGCATTGCATTTTTAACAAACAAACAAAAAAACAGAACACAAAGTTAACAAGCTTGGTAGTTGATTAAATGTCCTTTGACCAGTAGCTGGCCACTTGGAGTGCCTCTGGTGTTGTTGCAAGAAGGTCCTCCATTGTGCATGTGGCAGGGCTGAGGTTGCATTGCAGCAGGTGGTGTGTAGTTTGCTCTTCTCCACACTCGCATGTCATGGACTCCACTTTGTAGCTCCATTTCTTAAGTTGGCGCTGCATCTTGTGGTGCCAGAGCGCAGCCTGTTCAGCGCCTTCCAAGTCGCCAAGTTTTCTGTGTGCCCAGGGTCTCTCATTTGGTATCAGCCATTGATTGAGGTTCTGGGTTTGAGCCTGCCACTTTTGGACTCTCGCTTGCTGAGGTGTTCCAGCGAGTGTCTCTGTAAATCTTCGAAAACTATTTCTTGATTTGGGATGCACCGATGTGTATATGGCCCCCAAAAGAGGAAAAGAATATCTTTGTGACAAACTGACATTGATCATTTTACCTTAACTCCTGATACTGCACTGTCACTTAGAAATTCAGAATACCGGTCTGCCAGCTGTTTTTCTTGAATGTCTTTCTTGTACAACTTTTTAATCTGTTCCTTTTTATGCTTATTCAGCTTGAGATCAAAGCTGGATAAGCATCAATTGATAAAGTGCTGCAGTCTGTCTGCTTTAGTACACAAAACATAGAGTTACTTTATTGACCCATATATTTTTTAAAATAACAATTTACTCATTCATTTAAAAAGAAAATGTAAAGCAAGTGAACTTTGGGTTCTATTAATACAATCAAAAGTGGGTTCCCAGGTGTTTTGGCCTAAAACTCCCAGAAATCCCAGCCTGTTTACCAACTGTTAGGATTTCTGGGAGTTGAAGGCCAAAACATCTGGATCCCACAGGCTGAGAACCACTGCAATAGTTTCCTTTAGTTTCTTATGCATTTTTGTAGTTTTCAAATCCAAAAAGCTTGCATTCAAATAGAATGTTTTCATATTTTGCAAATGGTAAGTAATGGTATGAATCAGCTCCAGCCTTGGCTCCGAATTCTTCATCACAACCTGGAGTTTTGGTTTATTAGTCCTGTTAGGACCTGATTCATGAACATTTTTATGATTCTGGTCAGTCCAGGCTGGCACACTCTCTTTCTTCAATTATTGAATATTTCTGTTTCAGTTTAGTGTTTGGAGGACATTTGGATATTCACACTGGTGGAATAGATCTTGCGTTTCCCCATCATGAAAATGAAATCGCTCAATGTGAAGTTTATCATCAGTGTGACCAATGGGCAAATTATTTTTTACATTCTGGTAAGTTATTAAATAACCCATTTTACATTGTAATACCATTTTTTATTTGACCATATTTTTGTTCGTGTGTCTCAAGATCCACACCACTCCTATGAATTGTCCATACAGATATTTTTCGTGGGTTATATAGTGCCCGAATAACATCTGAGGTCATAACTGTGGGGAGTATTATCTCTTTTCTTAAGTGAACTGTGTATCCCTGTTGGTGTTTTCTCACCCTTTTCCCTTAGATTCTTGGGAGTAAGGGAATGAGGGGGCTCACTTGGTTTTCCACTTGAAGGTTAAAAAACAAAATACAATCAACTTGCTTTTGTTTTTCAGGACATCTTCATGTTAAAGGGAGTGAAAAAATGTCAAAATCACTCAAAAACTACATTACTATTAAGGTACTATAAACTACTGTGTTTCATTTTAAACTTGAATTCATCCAAGCTGCTAAAGGAGATTTTGGGGAAAACAAGAGGCTATTGCATTACAGTGTTCCCTCACTTATTGCAGGTGTTCTGTTTCAGCACCACCCGCAATAAGTGAAAATCCGAGAAGTAGGGATGATATATTAATTGTAATATTTATACAGCCAAAAAATGTATACAGCCAAAAATTGGGCTGAAGGTCCAAACCCGCTTCCAGCCGCCGCTGGAGAAACCAGTGCTGGACACAAAGAAGGCACACTGCCTGGTGCGGCCTTCCGCAGCCCTTTTGAAGGCTGTCCGGAGCTCCTGAGGGTGGCCAGCCCAGCCAATCAAGGGAGAGCAAAGTCTGCCTCCCATTGGCTGGCCACCCCACTGGAACTTCTCCCGCTGCCGAGGGGGCTGCTGGGAAGAACAAGCCCCCTCTGGCACCATGGTGGCAGACAGAAGTGCTTTGCAAAAAGTATTCACCTTCCTTTGGCTTTTCCACATCCTGTGATGTTACAGAACATCTGTGATGTTACAACCTGGAATTAGGATGGATTTAATTGGATTTAATTACCACTTGATGTACGGAAGATGCTAATCACTGAAGACGTAAAATATTTTTACTGCGGCAGACAAGTTAAGTCAGTTAAAAACAAACTGGCACTTCGTTGCATAAATATCAACCTCCTGAGTTAATAGTTGGTAGAAGCACCTTCAGCAGCAGTATAACATTGGATTGGCTCAAGAATTGGGGGCTCCGTTTTGATCTGTGAGGATCCTCCAATTATGTATTCTTTCATGGCCAAATTGCTCCAGATCCCCATTTGTCAGTTTGGATGGCTGTTGTTGATGCACTGCAATTTCAAAGACTTGTAAAAAATTTCAGAACCTTGCAGATACAGGTAGAGCCAATCTGAGAGCATGTGGCCTTGGAATTGCACTGAGAAGATTTCTGGAAGCAGTGGATTTCACCAAACATTATTTAGATGTGTCATAGCAAAAGGAATGAATACTTTTCAGTCTACGAGTGTTACGTTACCCAAATTTGGGCCACTAAGAAAATATTTTATATTCTCACCGTGCTGATGCTCTTCATAGTCTCAAGTCTGTGGATACAGATATATTGTACCTTTGCTGGCAAAGTGATAACGTTGCCAACAAAATCCATTACAGTTCCACAAAAAATCTGGAAAACTCAAAGGAGAATGGAGATAGTTCTGCAATGCATTTTTGTAATTTTCTTGAGTTACTAAAATTTAATCTTAGAACTTTAGGGCAGAGCAAGGCTTTAAATCAGGCATGGACAAACTTCGGCCCTCCAGGTGTTTTGGACTTCAATTCCTGGCTGTTAGGAATTATGGGAGTTAAAGTTCAAAACACCTGAAGGGCTGAAGTTTGCCCATGCCTGATTTAAAGCCACAAATCTTTTTACCCAAGGTATGCATCTATACAGTATAATTAATACATCAGTTTAAATGCCATGTTTCAATTCTGTGGATCAATGGAAATTGTAGCTTTTTTGCCTTCTCTGCTTAAGAGTGCTGGAGTCCCATAAAACTACAACTCCCATGATTCCATATTAATAAACCATAGCAATTAAATTCTACAGTGCTGCATTAATTCTATAGTGTAGATGCACCCCTAGTCAAGCATCCAGGTCACAACACTAATAAAAATATTGACATATATTTTATGGAGTATTGATGTAAGGACGCATTTATTAGAATGTAAAGCTTGATTTCTGTTTAAAGGATTTATTTTGTGTTCTTTGTACATCAGTTTTCGATTTTAACTGGAGAGGCTCTTCAGTTGGGCTAGCTTGTAGCGTAAATGATGGATCCTTTTTCTTTTACAACCATCTAAATCCTCTATGGAACTGGAGTTTCAGTCCACTGATCCAGACTTGCTCATGTTGAATCACGAGAAAGCTCTCCCTTATGAAAATCCACAAAAGGACTTCTTTGCTTTTTGTCTCCCTGGTTTGGAAAAGAGCAGATTCCAAACACCTACTGGAGCATGCCTTCCTCCTTTCTAGAGTTGTGCTAAATAGTTTCAGTCAAGCTGTTTTTGTTTTCTGAGTCTTCATCATTTTCTCATCTAAAGTTTAACAAAATTCACTTACAATATGCTTGTTGGCATAAATCTATATATTTCTCCAACCACGCTGTCTTAAGAAAGGGGATAAAGCATACAATGTTGTTTATTGAATTCAATGGAAAGAGTGGTCTGAGAAATGGTAGGACAGTAGAGAGACCAAATTTTTGACATCTACCATAAAGCAATGCATATATAATTAAAATCTAGGTTTGGATCCTTGGAGCTGGACAACAAGGAACTGGGAGAACCTTGGCTGGTTCTATATTGGAAATATTCACCCCCTCTTTCATGGAGCTGTTGAGTTTTGTAGAAATCGGACTCGTATATAACACTGTCATTCACACATTTTAATTTCACAAATGTTAGCCCTGTTTCTTCTACTTCTTTATTTATTTTTATCCCGCTTTTCTACCATGGGTGGGACTCAAAGCAGCGAATAAATGGTAAAAAGCAAAATCTATGTAGCACAAGAACACAACATCATCCCCAACCCAAACATATAAACAATAAACCAAGACATTGCAGAAACACATTGCGTACACCATATAAAATATACATAAAAATAGCAAGTTTTATCATAATCCCTGGGCCTCAAGCCACTGAGGTTGTCCTAAAAGCATTGTACTAAAAAGTCTCAAGCTCCAAATCTTTGGCCATGTGAGCCTTGCCTGACTGAGATATGGGTTGTTGGGGAAGGCCTGCTTCCATAAAAAAAGGGTTTTTTTTAAAAATTAGAATTTTATTAATTTTTATATAGATTACAACGAAAGAGTGAGAACAATAAAGTATAGGAAAGTGAGGAAATAAAGAAAAAAAGGAGAAAAAAGAAGAAACAAAAAAAATACTAAAATCCCAAACAACCCTAAAAAAAATAAAAAAATAAAAAAGGGAAAAAATAAAAAAATCTACAAAAATACACAAAAAACACACAAAAAAAGAAAAAAAACTGACTTCCATTCCATCTTCTTTGATCATATCTTCTTATTATTCAAAAATATAAAATAAGTTCAAAAAGAAATTGTCTCTCTTGTTTCTTATTTTCCCAAATTGTCCAGATATTCATGGAGATTATCCCAATTCGTTCTTCTTAGTATCATACCTGTATTTTTCTTCAACAAAAAAGTCAATTCATCCATGTCCTTTATTTCTCTGATTTTCCACCCATTCCTGTACGGGTGGTACTGAGTCTTTCTTCCATTCTCTAGCAAAAACAATTCTAGCGGCAGTCGTCATATATGTAAAAAGTTTATCCTCTTGTTCCGTCAGTTGTAGATCTAAATCTGTAAAACCTAACAAATAATACTCCGGTTTTCTTATAAATGTTCTTTTTAAAATCTTTTGTGTCTCTTCATGAATTACCCTCCAAAACTTTACTGCTTCTTTGCAAGTCCACCACATATGGTAGAAGGAGCCAACCTGTTCCAGGCATTTCCAACACTTATCAGAAACTGTTTTATACATTTTAGCCAATTGTTTCGGTGTGGTATACCATCTGTGGAACATTTTTATCCAATTTTCTTTTAAATCCATTGCGTATGTATATTTTAATTTTTTGTTCCACATCTGTTCCCACTCCCTCATTTGAATTGGTCTTCTTAAATTTTGAGCCCACTTTATCATACAGTTTTTAACCTGTTCTTTTTCAGTCAGCCAGGTAAGTAATATGTTATAAATATTCGATATCACTTTCTTTTCTAATTTTAAAATTTTATCCCATGCTGTTTCCTCCCAAGAGAAGCCAATTTTTTTTATCTTGATTGTAATATTCTTTAATTTGCATATAATGTAACCAAGTAATATTAGAAATTTTTTTGTTTTAATTCCTCATAAGTCTTAACATTGTTTGTATCTTTATTTAACAAATCTTTGTAGGTTGGCCATTTTCTCCATCCTAAAAGTCTTCGCTGATTTGCCTCCATAGGAGAGACCCATAAAGGTGTTTTAGAATAAAGATGTCTTTTATATTTTTGCCATACTCTTAATAGGGATGCTCTCACAAAGTGGTTACCAAAACTCTTTTCTTTCTTTTCCCTTTCGTACCATAAATAAGCATGCCATCCTACTCATAAAAAAAGGTTTTAATCTGGGAGCAAAAGGCCAATAACAAGAGGGCCAAACGCACCTCTTTGGGGAGGGAGTTCTGCACATGTGACAATGGTGGGACCGAGAGAAGGGCCTCTTCTGATGATCTCAGGGCTCATGTGGGCTAATAGGAGGAAATGGGGTCTCAAGTAGGCTAGGCATATTTGACCTGGGTATATTTGACCTGTGGATTCCAATAATGGCACCAGTTTCCTCCTATCAGCTTTAGTTTTTGAGATATAGATGCCATCTACCAGTCGCCATTTTCTCACCCATAGAAAGTAATGATGACCATATCTAACAAACTAGAGCTGATGCAGTCTATCCAATGCAATGTTCTAAATCAGCACGTCAAAGAACCCCAAGGACAGGCCTAAAAACCAAGACACAAAGTTTTTTTTTCTGTTGGACTGTGTAATATTATGATAAAAATAATAATACTTTATTTATAACCCGCCCTATCTCCCCTGGGGGACTCAGGGCAGTTTCCAATCAAAGAGCCAAACATTCAGTGCCAATAACACAAATAACAGATAAACTCAAAAACAATAAATAAGAACAATCACAGTATAAAACTTATAATAATTAATCCTTAAAAGAACAAAAGATTTATCAACATTAACAAATAAACAAAATATGACACATCACAAACCTTTACAACATAATTAAATATTATAATAAAAATTATAAAGTGTTTCTGAATTCAAGGATAACAGATGTGAGACAACGGGAGTATATAAATCACATAGGAACCCTCTGCATATTTATCCATGTTGTAGCTTCTAAATGCAGATGTTTCTGCAGCCATGAGAACTAGAAGCTTGCTTCATTTATTTCTGAGTGACTCAAAATTCCTTATCAATGTACCAGTATTTTTCGTACAATCTGTGGTTACAAAGGCAATCAGTAAAAAGCATTAGGAATAAGTCTATAACATCAAAATAATGGGGAGTGTTAAGGAATGTAGAAAGATTGGGTATCATTTGTTAGAGAATTCTTCCATTGGAAACCAAGAGCTCTGCCCCAAACCCGTTACAGCAGGGATGGGCAAACTTCGGCTCTCCAGGTGTTTTTGGCTTCACTCCAGAAATCCAAGTCAGCTTACTGGCTGTTAGAAATTGTGGGGGTTGAAGTCCAAAACCCCTGGAGGGCCAAAGTTTGCCCATGACTACCTTACAGTCATAGACCTGCAAATAAATTATCTCTGGGAGTTTTGGTTTCCCTCCCCAATGAAGAATTGGAGACATGCTACCTTTTAATGTGAAACGTGGGATTCTTGAGGGCTTTTCATGCTGTCACTGATGTTCTTATTGATTGTGTCATAATTGGTAGTAGGACAAGAGTTAGCATTGATTTCTTCTTACTTTCTCTTTTAGGATTTCTTGAAGGAGTTTTCATCTGATCAGTTTAGAATGCTTTGTTTGCGGAGCAAATATAGGGCAGGTAAATAATTTTTTTGTGACTTAGATATGGGACTTTGTGACTTATTGTTCATGGTATCATTGGAAGACACATGTATCTTCATCTGTTGAGTAGCCATGAAATGGCTGCTTTTGTTTCAGATAGAGATTTTTTGTGGGGAGGAAATGTAATTTTGGAGGTAACCTGAGTACATTTTGATTTTTAAAAAAAATAAATCTTTACATTTAGGGATAACTGTGACTAGGTGGAAAGATCTGTTATATTTTTGCAGTATCTCTGTGAAGTATTTTAAGGGGCAATGTGTGTATGTGTTTGTAGACGTGAGAGAGACAGCCAAACAAACAAACAAACAAATGGGCAGTTCACCCAGCAAGTTACCTAGTGAAGCGGATACTTCTGAGGGGGCATTGCTATACGCCTGTGAAACGTGGACTGTTTACAGATGTTCACACCCAACTCCTAGAACAATTCCATCAGTGTTGTCTCAGAAAAATCCTGCAAATCTTTTGGGAAAACAGGCAGACAAATGTCAGCACGCTGAAAAAAAGCAAAGACCACCAACATTGAAGTGATACTCCTCCGGCATCAACTCCGCTGGACTGGCCACATTGTCTGAATGCCCGATCTCTGTCTCCCAAAGCAGTTACTTTACTCCCAACTCAAGAATGGAAAACAGAATGTTGGTGGACAGGAAAAGAGATTTAAAGATGGGCTTAAAGCCAATCTTAAAAACTGTGGCATAGACATCGAGAACTCGGAAGCCTTGGCCCTTGAGCGCTCTAACTGGAGGTCAGCTGTGACCAGCAGTTCTTTGGAATTTGAAGAGGCACGAATGGAGGGAGAAAGGGAGAAGCGTTCTAAGAAGAAGGCACATCAAGCCAACCCTAACCGGGACTGCCTTCATCTTGGAAACCAATGCCCTCACTGTGGAAGAACATGCTGGTCAGGAATAGGGCCCCACAGTCACCTACGTACCCACCGCCAAGACACTACACTTGGAAGACCATCATACGCAGACAATGATGGATTGCACAAGTAAGTTAGTAAGGATACTTCTCAGCCAAAGTCCAACAAAAGTGACCTATATTATACTAGGATTTTTAGAAAATATATCTTTATTTTGGGGGAAAATGTTTTTTTTTTAAAAAAAACCGACTATTTATATGCACTGTCCGTTTTGAGAAGATCTGCATTTTGTGAATCACCTGAAGAGATCTTTGCTTTTGTCGAGAAAGAAACTTTTTTGATTCACTTTCCATCAGCTTCTACTCAGTACACCAGATTAAGAGGACCTCCAGTCTTCCACAGGATGCATTTTAAAACTAGAATCACTGTGTTCAATACTTTTTGTATATCCGAAGAAAGTCCATATGTAATATCTGAAGCCATATTAAATAAAAATTAGGTGATCCATGTCTTTCTGGATCAGACCAAAACCTGCCTAGCAAATGCTATTTTGTAACCCGCGGAGCAATTCTTCATAATCTCCTCTCAAGGATGGACAACCTCTTTTAGATAGAGAAATGTACTCAATTTCAGAGTAATTTTGGGAAGATGCAATCTAGTGGTGGGTGGCATCAGAGCCAAAAGGTAGGGGCAGAAATGCTGGTATAATTCAGCTTAAATGGTTCCTTCCAGTAAATAATAATAGAATGGAGTTGTCATATTGAAAGCTGGAGAGTGTTCATGTATCTAATGGTTATATAGAGGAGATAATTCTACCAGATGTTCATTAAGCAACCAGGTAAAATGTAATAGCTGTTGAATATCCCTCTTCTACATAACAATTAAAAGTGTAGGAGCCCTTTCTAGCTTTCACTCTGGTAATGCTATTTAAAATGGGAAGGAAACTTGTACAAGAACTGGGAAAATACTGAAGAATAGTACAGAAGTACAGAAGAAGTACAGAAGAAGTACAGAAGTACAGAAGAAGTACAGAAGAAGGACAGAAGAAGATCTAATCTTTAGCAGTCTCAATGCTAGGTTCAGATCTGGTGTCTCTTCTGTCTATCCCAGTTGGCATTGTATAACATTAGGAAGAACAAACAACTACAGTACTAGTGTTTTGGGGGTTCCTTTGTTTGTGAAATGGGACTCTTGCCCAGCCACACAACCACTTGTTCCATTTTCTTTATTCATATTCCTCATCCAGAAATGACCAGAGCAGAAATGTGGTGAACACAGTTTCACTTTTATGTAAGCATCGTTTCTGTTTAATATTTGTTACTGTGTGCCTTCAAGTCATTTTCTCACTTATGGTGACCCTAAAATGAACTTATCACGGGGTTTTCTTGGCAAGATTTGTTTTGGGGTGATTTGCTTTTGCTGAAGGTTTAGTGTTACCTTATGTAACTAAAGATATGTATCTGTGTGCATTTAAGGTATAGAATACAGCGATGACCACATGAATGATGCAAAGAGCATCCTTCATATAATCTATTCCTTTCTGAGTAGTGCGGACGCCTATATGAAAGGACAATTTCTCTGTGAAGACATTAGAGAAGACATACTGTGGGAAAGGTGGGTGTGATGGTTGATTTTATCATTTTATGTGTGTGGTTTGCTTGGTGTATCCATGCAGCTAACAGGAGTAACTTCTTTTAGACACTCAAGTGATCAGATGCCATTACTTTTGAAAAAAAAATCCCTTGTATTTCTTTTTTAAAAGCCTAAAAATTAAAGCTAACTGGCCTGGCAAATAAAGCAATACATGCAGGCAAGGGTTCCCCCCCCCCCCCCCCGGATATATTTTCCTCCCATAGAGGGTACATTTTAGCATTTCCGTGTCCTGCTGGTATAGTTCTGGTCTAGAATAGATATGTTAGCAATGATTTTCCAAGGTTTGCCGAATACACATATCTTCTGGGAATGCATTTCAAGACCTGAGACCATGGTGAACCCTACATCTGTTCTAACTGATAATACACTAATCCTAGACATGTCTTTGCAAAAAATAAAATTAAAAAAATCCCTTTTCAATGCTAGCAAAAAGCATGCAGCTCTGCGGCCACATTTAAAATGTTCTATTCTCCTTATTTTTATTTATTTGAGTTGTCTTCTTGATTGTTAATTAGCCCAAACTGTTTTTTGTTTTAATGATTTATGGAGGGAATCCAGGCATATCATGAAGTAATCATATATCATTTCTATTGATTCATGGTGGGCTCATGAATCAAAATCTGTTCCATCCTATTAAGAGACAGCCATATTCCCTTGGATGTCAGCTTCTGATAGTGTATAATTTTTCTCCCAATAACACATAAATCTCTCATATTCCTCAGGAATAGATTGACCTTTCTTGAATGTAATATAATATATTATCTCCAATAATGTTTATGTCGTCCACATTTAACGATTACTTTAGCCTCCAATAATTTGCAGTTAGCTTGTTTGCTAACAAATGACATATCTGCTGTGGTAGAACTGTCAGTCTCTATCCTGTTAAAGATTCCCATTGTGCAGTTACGAGCGAGATCAGGTCCTACTTCCACTTCCAGAAAGGTGAGATTTCTCTTATTTCTTGAAATGTACATTGTGGGATCTATTCACAAGATATAAATAACTCACTCATTCATGCCTGCATTTTTACGACTTGTCCATGCAACAAAACATAGGGACTTCAGCGAATGAAGGGTCCTGAATAATCATGTGCATTCGGGCCAAAAGGCATACCGTTTTCGGGTCCGTTTTTGTTTGACCCCTTTTATTGTTTACCAGAAAGTTACCCAAAAGAGGAGAGGTGTTTTCCATTTCATTCGGCAGAGAATCAGCTCACTGGCTACAATGGGAAATTTTAAAGGCTTAATCCTCAACCATTTTAAGACCTATCTGCATGAAGCCTACCTCAGTTGTAGACTCCATTTACAACTGCAGGCCTGCCAAGTTTCAAAACAATTCACCAATCAACTGATTTTTTAGAATTATTTCAAGTTTTAAGCATAACATTTTTTAAAATAAGACAAACTGCAAGAGAGTGCTCTTGGAATTGTAGTCATTGTTGTGTCCATTCTCAGCCAGTCAGAGGATGGACACCACCTGGCTTTTAATTGGCTGAGAGAACACACACAGAGAAAAATTTCAACTCCCATCATGCTTCGAGAGGAACTTTCAGTGACCGCCTTATGCTAGTGCCACTGGGAAAGCAAGTTCCCAGGGCCCTCTCTGAAGGAAGAGATAGCTTTCCAAGGAAAAATGGAGGAGGCTTCTTCTGCCAGGGAGAGAAAAAGACGCCACAGATCCCCCTACCTCTGGTATTTTGAGGACTTAACTCTTTCTGAAAATATCGTCGTTCTGAATTAGTTTCACTGGTCTTTTTGTCTCTCTCTTCCCCTTTCTGTTTTTGGAAATTACATGAAAATGTCCCTCCAAAAACTATAGATCTTTTCATTAACAGTGATTAGGGCCCAACTCTAGTCCTTAACCCAGATCTTTTCCTACCATTTGTTTGAATCAGGGTAGGGCCTAGCCACATTCATGGGGTCAAGACTGGATAGGGGGTGTGGTGGTAAGCTACAGATGCTGGGAATGTTACCATCTCCCATGTCCCACCCTAAATGTGGCTAGCCACACCTGAATTTAAATATAGAAGCCTACTGCCATCATATGTAGTTTGACCCTCAGAGCATTTAGGACACAAGAGCACAGAATGTGGGTGTCAGAAGTTTGAAAGTTCCTTTTAGTGCCAAATCTCTCTCCTCTCCCTGCCACAGGTACTATCTTCCTATCCATCTTGTTGCCACCTTAGCACCCATAACAACACCTGAACCAGCACTTGAACTATATAAACCATGTTTCTCCTTCTTTGTTTAATGAGTCTGCATATTGCATAATTATATAAGTAACTAAAAGGGATGTTATTTCACATGCAGTTAAAATTAAATTACAATGATAGTGTATTGCACATATAGCTTGATTACTTGCAAAGGATCTAATTTACAAGCAATTCACTATTGGTGATTGGTTGTTACTTTAAAGCAATGGCATGTACAAGATGTAGTGGAAGAGCAAACTTAATCTTGCTGTCGAAGACGGCAGAGAAGAAAAGTCTGTCAGCAAGGACTTGTCTCTTGAGAACATTTATAGAAGACGATAATTGCCTATCACTGACAAATCTACCCAGTGGAAGGATTTCCACCACAGTAGCCAGCATCTCTCACCTTAGCCCTGCCATATCAAAGTGGTAGTAGTCAGAGGTAGAGCAGACCTGTTCAAATAAATCGGTAGTTCTCAACCTGTGGGTCCCCGGATGTTTTGGCCTTCAACTCCCAGAAATCCTTACAGCTGGTAATCTGGCTGGGATTTCTGGGAGTTGTAGGCCAAAACAACTGGGGACCCCCAGGTTGAGAACCACTGAAATAAATGGAAACATTTCCTATGTGAGTATCTTAGTCCTGGTGGCTAAGTCTAGTGATATGAATGTCTTCTGTGACCATTTGCATAATAAGAACTTTGGCAGTTACTTCCCTTGGTTCAGTCTGAAAAATGTTCATTCTCTGGCACAGTGGATTTGGCACAACCTTGGTGACATCATTGGACATGAGCCATTGTTATTCTGTGCCCTCAAATAATTTCTTTTAGTAATTTAAGGCAAACCTTTCACAGGGTTTTCTTGGCACGATAATTTCAGAGGGGATGTGCTATTGCCTTCCTCTGAGACAGGAAACATGGCTTGCCCAAGATCACATGGTGAGTTTCCATGATTGAACAAGCTTTCTCAAAAATGGCTAACTCTGTGTTCATCTAACAGCAGCTCCAGAGGGATCTTGATAGGAATATGTAAAATGAGTTTCAAATGTTATTAGCTTTGCATGAAAAAAAAATGCCTGGTTACCAAATGGCAGAGCTTCATTTTGCCTAGCAGTAAGTTTACAAATGAATATTATCTTTTATTGAAGCTTGATCCAATCAGTTTTAAGCATATATGTAACTTTCTCCTTTGATGCCTATAACATTAGTGCCTTAATTAATCTTTTGCCTCTGTTGTTCTGTTCCTCTCCTTCTTTTCCAAGGCTTGCTCACACTAAAGCCACCGTAAGGGCCGCCTGTGCGGATGACTTTGACACCCCCAGGGCTGTTGGTGCAATTATGGACCTCATTCACCATGGCAACAGACAGCTTAAAGTTGTCACTAAGGTAACCCATTAGGATACAAAGATCAGAAAGCACAGTTGTCTACACGTTTGAACTGACAGATCAGTTTATTATTTGCTTTTGAGGAATAGAAAATCAAAAAAGAGCAGATTAAATTACCTCCCGTGGCTGAGGTTTATATAAACTGCCTTTCCAAGTAGCTAAAACTATACTCTTATTCTGCTTCAGAATCTTGTTCTGTTGTATTTGTAGTATGCTTACCAAATGATGCTTCTGTGCCAGCTTTGCCCTTCATAATTTAGACCGTGTCTTTGTTTATCCCCGAAGAGTCAGGTGATATACCTTCCAAATACTTGTGTACATTTGCTCTTCCTCATTTTAGCAGCACTACCAAATTTGGGTTTATTTTATGGTGGGTTTGAAGAGGGGCCAGCATTAAACTTCTGGTGTAGTTGAAGTGCTCAGCTTTCAGGTGAGAATAGACTTCAGAGATATTGACAAGGTGGAAGGTGTCAAAAAGGTGGAATGTGCCAACAAGGTGGAGGGTGACTAAAATGATCAAGGGTCTGGAGAACAAGCCCTATGAGGAGCGGCTTAAGGAGCTGGGCATGTTTAGCCTGAAGAAGAGAAGGCTGAGAGGAGATATGATAGCCATGTATAAATATGTGGGAGGAAGTCACAGGGAGGAGGGAGCAAGCTTGTTTTCTGTTTCCCTGGAGACTAGGACGTGGAGCAATGGCTTCAAACTACAAGAAAGGAGATTCCATCTGAACATGAGGAAGAACTTCCTGACTGTGAGAGCCATTCAGCAGTAGAACTCTCTGCCCCGGAGTGTGGTGGAGGCTCCCTCTTTGGAAGCTTTTAAACAGAGGCTGGATGGCCATCTGTCAGGGGTGCTTTGAATGTAATATTCCTGCTTCTTGGCAGGGGGTTGGACTGGATGGCCCATGAGGTCTCTTCCAACTCTATGATTCTATGATTCTGTGATTCACTTGGAACTGTCTCACTTCACCTGGAACTGTGGCTTTTTATGTGGCCAGTGGATATGTTGAATCTTTCCCCCAGTTGCTTGCCTATTCGAGCTCTGTCCATACATTCAGCTGGAACTTGTTACAAGCAACGAGATACCCCCACCTTGCCTCCTCCTTCGTCTTTATGCTTTTTGACTGTTGTAAAGGCAAACCCTGTATGGAACTCAGAAATGGAGAGCCACTTGGTGGATCCCATGATGGCAGGGAGAGGAGTAACAGCAGGAAGGATGGGAGATCAGATGGAGCAGGTGGTTCTTGAACTTGAAACCCAAACATCCACTTTCAGTTTTATTCACCTCTCAGTTTGCTGGAGCCTAGGCAAAGCCCAGCACCAACAATCAAGGACAAACTGGGGAACGCCTGCTGGGAAGTCCAGCTCTCTTGTTTGCATCCAGATGACACAACAACAGATGTGCTGTTGTTGATATGCGGGAATGGACAATGTACAGTCACTGCTCAGGAAGGCTACAGCCACTCCTAGTAAATGTGTATCTCCAGAATAGCATAAAATATGCTAGGGAGGTGGCAAAAAAAAGCAGAGATTTGGCTGAAATGTAGGGATAGAGCAGCAAGAGAGTGGACTTGGTTTCTGCAGAGCATCTTCTGGGTCTTTTATATAAGACATGGAAGAATGTCTTCTGGTTCATTAGTGTTTCCATCCACCCCTCAAGTCCCATTCATAATAACTGTGTTGCCTTATTTATGAAATGAGATCTGATATTCAGAAACTGCCAAATACTGTCTCGGAGGCCAAATTCCAATTAGTATTTTGAAAACTAGTTTTGACCCTCCTGAAATACATGTTGTGAGAGAAATGGCTTCAACATCCTTGTCAGTTTTCTGGGTTAGTGTTACAAGATTACATATTCTAGATGGATGATTTTTTTTTTATTTTAGTCTCACTATAAGATAAAGCGGAATAAACCAAATCTCTACTGCTGTGGCTGATCAGTTTGAGTGAATAAGGTGTTCACACACTATGATCAGATCAGCCTTTTCTCTCCTGCCCTTCAGGAAAAAAAAAAACTTAAGACATGACTCTGGAACCAATTTTTTGACAAGTAATTGGAGCACTGCAATAAGTGACTATAAAACAATGTGCTTGACAAATGGAACGGCTCTGGATTATGGTTTTGATTGGCGTGGTTTTGATTGTTTTTAATAATTTGTATTTTAATTGTTTGGTTTTAATTGCAATTGTTTATCGTTACAGTAGAGTCTTGCTTATCCAACCTTCGCTCATCCAGCGTTCTGTATTATCCGACGCAGTCTGCCTCCCATCCAGATCCACAGCTGTTTCAATAATTTTTGATGTTTTGGTGCTAAATTCGTAAATACAGTAATTACTGCATAATGTTACCATGTATTGAACTGCTTTTTCTGTCGATTTATTGTAAAACATGATGTTTTTGTGCTTAATTTGTAAAATCATAACATTATTTGACATTTAATAGGCTTTTCCTTAATCCCTCCTTATTATCCAACATATTTGCTTATCCATTGTTCTGCTGGCCCGTTTCTATTGGATAAGCGAGACTCTACTGTATATGGCATCAAATTGCTGTCTGTTGTAAGGTTACCTTACAACATCTATTACAACATCTATTTGTATGCAACCCATAATCTGCTATATTATTATTTCCAATATCTTGCCTGCTGCAATAATGATTTCCTGGAAATGTGATCCTCACAGAGATATCGCTCCTCTTTCTGACTCCTAGTTTATCTTGCATGAGGTCCATTGATGTCATCAGAGCTGTGTTATATAACTACACGTGGGCCATTCTTTCTGTCCCTCCTCACTACCACCAGGATTACAAATAATAATATATAATACTTCACCCAGGTTGCTTGTATTCCATGCTAGAGGAAAGCTGAATTATGGAAGCCCTACAAACTGTACAAATCTCATGATGGATGCTTGGTTGCTTTCTTCAGCCAAGCAATTCTTTTGCAAAGTCAAGATTGCAAAATCTAGTCTCCTTGCCAAAGGAGGCCTAAAGCCTTTTGCAATTGTACACACACTTTCCCTAGTTTCTAAGATCCATATACATTTAGCTTTATCTTTGCAACCATTAAAACCAGAGATGTGTGAAGTTCTTTAAGCGAATGCTGCATTTCCCAATTCTAAACCTTGAATGCATGACTAGATTCCCTCTTTGAACGCAAGTCAACAGAATCTTATCAATGGAGGACAGCTGTCCCTCTGTAAAGTACTCCTTCACAGCCTATTTATTCAGCTATCCTGGCTTGGTTCTAACTCCTAAAAGCTGTGTATTTGGCAAAAGTTGTGTGGAAAGAAAGTAAAAGATCAGAAGCTTTGCTGGCCTTTCATTGGACCGTTCATTCATCCCCTACACTTTGCAGTAATGAGAGCTATGAGGGGGAAAACACAATGTTTCAAGAAAGCCACTTTCGGTGCCAAATATTGTCTATCCACATCAGAAATGCAGCTTACATCGTACTCTGTTCACATACAGGACATATCTTGTGCTTTTAAAGCATTCTGGCGATACAGCTTTGTGGCCAATTACTGCAGTTAAGAGTCTCTTGCTCTTAAAAAAGAAGAGGGTTTAGGAAAGGTTTCGGATAATGAGATTTCTGCAAAGCGGCTTTCTGCAAGCGGAGAATGGTTGCCTTTCATCTTTTGTTCATGTGCAGAGAGGCGTTGGTCACCATCATGAACTGTTACAGTTACATCAGCTCTTTTGTATGTGTTTGTGTGTCTCTTTGAAAGCAGGAAACTGGATCTCCTCGAAGCGCCGTGGTGTTTGGAGCCATTGTTTCCTATATAGTGGAATTTCTTAAAACTGCTGGGATCACCTTCTCTGAAGGAGAGGTAAGGGGCTACTGTAAATGTGTGTTCAGACTGAAGGCACACTCCAGGCTTCAAACAGACAGATTGCCTGGCCCTTCGTGCTTTGGAGGAATCCTCCCATGAGCCCTTGTTTCCAAATAGTGTGTAGAAACATAGGAGGCTATTCTGCCCAGCCAAACACTGTCTCTCTTCTCATCAGAAAGTATTTCTCCTGGATCAGTGACAAAAATCTGAGATCTTTCTCTCACCTCCTCCTCCAGATTGAACCTGAACTTTTAGCTTGCAAAACTTATGGGGAATTTCCAGGGTCCTGTCTACACCATGGACTGGGTTGTGGCACAGCTGGTTGGGAGTCAGCTGCAGTAAAATCACTACTGACCGAAAGGTCATGAGTTCAAAGCCAGCCTGGGTTGGAGTAAGCTCCCGACCATTTGTCTAGCTTACTGTCGACTTTTGCAAAAGATAGTTGCATCTGTCAAGTAGGAAATGTAGATACTGCTTATGCGGGGAGGCTAATTTAACTAATTTATGATGCTATAAAAATCTCCAGCAGCATGCGAAAGAATGAGGAAGTACTCCATCGGTGTCACAAGTGGACAGCTTTTCTGGTGGCTGGAATTTGAAGCATAGCCTCATGAAGCTGGAAAGTTAAATAGCCTCTGTGTGTCTGTCTATATATGTTGTGTGTCTATGGCATTGAATGTTTGCCATGTATATGTGCATTGTGATCTGCCCTGAGTCCCCTGCGAAGTGAGAAGGGTGAAATATAAATACTGTAAATAAATAAATGTGTGGACAACTATTGGAGAGAGATAGGAGCCAAATACCCCTAAAATACCCCCACAGCAAACCCAAATACTTCCAATTTTCTTCTGCTGTCCCCTTGAAAATGGTAACAGGAAGTTTTTTTTCTTGTTGCCATTTTGAGAGGGATTGCAGAGGAAACTAAAACCTAGGTATTTCATGCAGAAAGGGTTTCTGGGGTGCTTTTGTAGGTTGGAGTGTTTGGATGCGTGTTTGTACATTTGGGAGGCTTTCTGCATGGTTTCAGGCAAAATTGCTTGAAAATTGAGCTCATTGAAACAAATGTTTGCACAGGGTTTGGGGCCTTGGGGTGGAATAGATGGGTGTGGGGGGCTTCAAAGGCCACAAAAAGGGGCCCTGGGATCATCTACGGCCCATGAGCAGCCCTTTTTCCAACTCTTGATTTACACAGTAAAACATGTACCTATATGGCCTTCCCTTTTCCTGCTCTATCTAAATCAAGACTTCTTAAACCTTTTCCACTCACAACACCTATCTGCCTGATAAATGTTTATGTGACCCTAGTTATATAGTTATATAAAATATTTTTTTTTAAAAAAATCAGTCATTTACTGAAAATCAGCAGGTGCAAGGTTTGCTAAACAGGCAGTTTTTCCTTTTTGTGGAGTACAGCTGAAGCCATTTCTGCAGAGTCTCCTGTAAACACTGTGCTAACATTTATGTAAATGCCTAGATGGTATTTGAAAATCTTTAATATTGTCAAATATTGAGCTAAGGGGACCTCATTTGGGTCTGGACCCACAGTTTAATGGAAGTTCTAGGTTATTTGCAGTGCCCATTGTTCCACAGAAAGATTTTGTTATAGTTGAAGAGAGCTCTAGTTCCCTTGTTCCCTTGTGTGCCTAGTATACAAACCAGCCTTCTGGGTATAAGCCGCTGTTTTTGCATGAATTGCATTTGGGTTTGATTTCTGCTGTATAACTTGCAGGTCACTCCAGAAAACAAACATTCAGCCATTCTTAGCAGCGTGATTGACGAATTGGTAAGCTTCCGAACCAAAGTACGCAATTTTGCACTTGCTGCACCTGAGGCAACTGGAGATATGTCCACTGAACATGCTGTCCCATCGAAAGAAGCAAAACAGCGACAGAAAGAGGAAAGACAGAGACTGTTGAAGGAGAGAGAGACCCTTCTGCAAGCATGTGATGGCCTGCGTCAAGACCTATCTCTGTATGGTATCATTATAAAGGTTCGTCTCCCCTTCTGACTAGGCGTTACTTGCTGGTTATTCTGATTCACCCTTGTAGGTTTGGATGAGGCAGACTTTGATGCTACCTTTTCTCAATCCTGTGAACAGGCAGATCTTTCATTTTTGCATTCATTGAACTATTCTAACTGAATAGAGAAAACTGTGAGTCTGCACTAAACTATCACATTTGATCAAAGCTTTAATCAAAGCCAGCTTCTTTTGTAAAGCAAGCATCTTTTGTAAAGGCGTGGGCAAAATGTGACTCCTCATGCTTATTTTTGTGGCCCTTCACCTTCAGATTACTCAGACCATTTTTTCAGCTTCTCTTCCTTCCTCAGAATGAATTAATATATATACTTATTTTGAACTCAACCTCATGTATATAAGTTGATGGCAGGTTTTGGACCAAAATAGTGGATTTTGATATGACCTGTGGGCAAGTCAAGGGTATTTCTGAGAGGAGGGGAAAGCAACAGTGCTGACTCAGGGCCTTTAGCCACTGCTGACATCTTCCCTTTCAAAAAGGCCAGAAGTGGTGTCACAGCAGGGAGTGTAAAGGGAGTCACTGCTTCCATTAGTTTCTCCCAGGATAGACAAAGTTCTTGCCTTTCATCATTCTACTCAGAGAAGCGGATGGTTCCTTTTTTGAAAGAGTTGAAGGTGCAGTACTCATGTTGACCCATGGATAACTCGACCAAAGCATTTTCTGCAGAATCCACTGTAAATACTGCATGTTGTCACTAACGGATTTGTATAAATGTCTAAAACAGACACTGGGCGGCATTCAGAAAACTTTTACTGTTGCCAAATGTGTCACAACCCCATTTTCTCTTATGGGACTCCATTTGGGGTTGGGACCCATAATTTAAGAAGCAGTGGGCTCTTTCTCAACTACTTTATTTCTTTTTTTACTGAAAACACACAGCTGCAGCCTAATACTGAAACTTTGTTTTTCTCACTCCTTCACCACTCTCCCTCTCACTACCAATGCAGCCTAAACAGCTTCTAGGTAGATACAGGAACAAGAGGAAACAGATGAAAAGAAGAGCTTATTTGTCAGAGAAATTTGTGCCTGTATTGTGTGTTTAAAAAATGTACGGGCAGTGCCCAAGTTATGAACAAGATAGGTCCTGTAGGCTTGTTCTTAAGTTGAATTTGTATGTAAGTCATAACAGGTACATTTTTAAGTGTAACTCCAGTCACACACACACACACACACAAGATTTGGATAGCATCTGTTGTGTTTGTTTTGCTTTAGGTGCTTCTATTCAGAAGATTTTACCTCACTTTCTGTCCTTGTGAGAATTGGATTTTGAAAAATTGGCTTGTTGTGAAAACAAGAATTGGTGATAAAGCTTCGGCGGAAACACCTTTTCCCCATGATAACTCTTTTAGGAGTGAATTTCCCTTCCTAGGATAGAGTCCCTCTCACTTCCTGTTGTCTCACCCCCATTCTTCACTATTCGTTGTTTGTAAGTTGGATATTTGTAACTTGGCGACTGTCTATATAAGTTTTAATCTCGTTTGTTTGTTTGTTTTGTACACAGGATAGAAGCGCAACTTCTACATGGGAACTCAGAGAACCAAGTAAAGAGCTGGAAAACAGCTAATGTGTGTACAGATGGAGTGTTTTAAAACAGAGAATAATCTTCCTTGAATTATTAGGCTTCATATTGAAGCAGCCGAAACATTTCTTCTGATTTTTGCTTTAAAAATTGAAATCCAGAAGCTTTGTCTATTTTTTGGTAAAAAAATTGTGTTCAGGATGGCCAGAATAGAGAACAGATAAGAGATCTGTTCATCTAGAGCTATTATTTTTCCAGCTTTCTTTTTGAACAATCTGTGGCCCTGTGTGCTTCACCACCTGCATTAATCATAGAATCATATTGTTGGAAGAGACTACATGGGCCATCCAGTCCAACCTCGTCAAGAAGCAGGAAAATCACATTCAAAGCGCCCCTGACAGGTGGACATCCAGCATCTTTTTAAAAGCCTCCAAAAAAGGAGCCCCCATCACTGTCCAGGGCAGAGAGTTCCACTGCTGAACAGTTCTCATAGTCAGGAGGTTCAGGTGGAATCTCCTTTCCTGTAGTTTGCAACCATTGTTCCGCGTCCTAGTCCCTGGGCAGCAGAAAACAAGCTTGTTCCTTCCTCCCTATGACTTCCCCTCACATGTTTATACATGGCTATCATGTCTCTGCCCAGCTTTTAAGCCGCTCCTCATAGCGCTTGTTCTCCAGACCCTTGATCATTTTAGTCGCCCTTCTCTGGACATATTCCAGTCTCCCTTCAACTGCAGTGCCAAGAACTGGACACAGTATTCCAGATGTGGTCTGAATAAGGCAGAATAGAGGGGGAGCATGACCTCCCTGGATCCAGATACTAAACTCCTTTTGTTGCAGGCCAAATTTAAACTGTTTCATCTCAATCATTCTTTAAAAAAAGTAAGCACAATTTTATAATGAAACCATAATTGCTAGCTTTAGTGACACAAAAGGTGAGTTGCATATGTGGGTTTTAATCTTCACCATGGTAGTCTGCAACGTTCTCTGGAAATGATGCATATAGGGGTGGGTGGCAGTTTTGATGTGCCTCTGAAGTGTTCATGCCTCTTAAAAAGCAAATTTGAGAACAGAACATCTTAAAGATTTATTCTGAAGTGACAAGAAACATCTGGGAGGCAGGATGCTCAGCCATAGATCCTTCTATAAGAAGTGCAAAGTTTGGCTGGCTAATGTTAATCTTATGTCACACAAATGTTTTACAATATCGTCTTTTCAGCACTTGCAGGTTCAAGGGTATTGAGAAGCTTAAAATAGCTGGCCTCATACAGTCACTTTAAACATTACAGATTGGCCTCAAACAGATCTCCAAAAAATTCCTAATGTTAAAAACTCAAACATCCTTGAGAGACCTTTGAGTCAGAGCAACCCTTTCCATTACTAACAAAATACCGTTTTCTGGCTATGAATGAAGCCATGTTCTGTAAGAACAGGTTCCATACCTTTAACTGTGGTTTTCCCCTCATACAAAGAAACCTTACATAATTGTAACTGCCAAACTCTAGTAACATTTGAGGTTGAAAGTGCAATTTTTATTGCTTGGGATGTAGAGCTGCAGCAGATTGGGCACTGCTGAACCCTGCCTGTCTCCCAACAACAGCAAAACCCCAAACAGCTTTAAAAGACTGTAGAAAGGAGAGTAGAAAGCAGGATTGAAGTCCTGCGGAAAACATAAGGCTTGAAGGCCTTTATCAGGAGATGTACACATCTCATGTCTCTGTATTTATGCTCCCCCCCCCCCCCCAAAAAAAAAAAATCCCTCACCAGTAAGCAGTCCGCCCCTTCTCCAAACTTGGCTATTTCTGTGTTGTCAGAAAAAGAGTTAGCTGGCATGGCTTGAGCTACCCTATTTCACCGATTTTAAGACAGAGTTTTAAAAACCAAAATTGAGGCTCCCAAAATGGGCTGTGTCTTACAATAGATGGTATCCTAGAGTTTTGTAGGTTTTTAGAAAAAATTTGTGCTTCACTGCCATAACAGTTTCACCGTGGGCTAAAAACCCCCTATTTCTATTGGTTTTCTAAGCAAAGTGGCAAAGTGCTTTTGCAAGTGTGTAAAACCACCTTTAGGGAGCAAGGTTTCCTTGTTTCTTAGAGAAGTAGTTACCAAAGCTGTACTTATTATATGCAATCCCTGATCCTGTTGTGCACGTCAAAATGTCAAAAAGATTGCATTATGAAGCTGCCTTCAAAAGGAAAGTGATTGTGATGTCAATGAGGTAAATGTCCGCCATTGGTTAAAATATTTCAATGCCATTTTTTACTGCAAAGTATCCACAAAATACTTTGTGCCTCCGGTGGCGTAGTGGGTTAAACCGCTGAGCTGCTGAACTTGCTGACCGAAAGGTCGGTGGTTCAAATTTGGAGAGCAGGGTGAGCTCCCGCTGCTAGCCCCAGGTTCTGCCAACTTAGCAGTTCAAAAACATGCAAATGTGAGTAGATCAATAGGACCGCTTCTGTGGAAAGGTAATGGCGCTCCATGCAGTCATGCTAGCCACGTGACCTTGGAGGCGTCTACGGACAATGCCAGCTCTTTGGTTTCAAAATGGAGATGAGCACCACCCCCAAGTCTGACACGACTAGACTTAATGTCAAGGGGAAACCTTTACCTTTACTTTATCCACAAAAATGCTTTACAGGACCCTAAAAAGGCATATTTCCTCAAATGGATGAGGGAGTGATAGATTTTGTACAGCACGCATGAGAAAAAGGATTGCCCATTACTAGGTAATCAGTGCAGTTGAAAGCCATTGAGATCGCAAAATCCCTTTGGGATAAAAGAAGAGTTTTTTTTAAAGGTGGTCAGAACTGGCGTTACAGACTCATATCTCTTGATGGGCTATCACAGAGGAATCAGACACCTATCTGTCAAAAAGGTCCAGCAGACAAGATGAATAACTTCCAGAGATGATGTCATCGATTTATAGAGAGGAAAGAAAATATGATTTCAGTCAAATTGGAAGTGCTGATGAAACTCCGGATCTTTTAAAAATCTGTTTATTCAGCAATATAAATATTATACAATTTATAAATACAATATTTTGTCCTCTTTGACATATATCACTATATCTATCAATTTAAACTATTTCCCCCCAACTGCCAGATTGAAAAACAATGATCAAAACAGTAATAGATTAAAATTGACTTCCCACTTCCTGTTTCAAAGACACAAGGGGGGAAATGTTATAATCCTGTCGCTTCCCAATCTGCTGCAGCTTTACATCCCATTTTAGACAGTTTCTTCAGTGTGTCATGTAAAATTATTTTCGTGAAACCAGACCTTTAAAAAAAACTTTTAAAAAATTGAAACTACCTTTCCCCCAACCCCCGCCACCCGGAAACAGCAACTTCAAAATCAGGCTGCATCTTAGATTCTGTAGCAGTCAATGAAATAAAATATTTTCTTGTAGCTGTATGCATTGCAAGGGTGTCACCTGTACAAAGTTTGCCAGAATTCCAGGTCTCTAAAGATGCCAGTTGCAGGAAAATAGTTGAGATGTATCCTCACTCATCGCCTTGATCTCCAACCACAAGGAAATGGTTATGCTGGGAAAGGAGGCTGCACTGCTTACAATGTGTGTGGTTGTTTTGTGGGGGGGGGGGCACATGTGATAGTTTGGGGTGCCATTGTATTGGTAGACTTCTAGCTCAACATTATCAACATGAGACAACCTTGAACAACTCTACACGTGGCACAGAATGGAAACTTAGATTTGCTTTCATGATAGACAAGCAGGAAAGGATTTGAGTGTTTTACTTGCAGCATTATGCTTCTGATTCGCTGGTACATGGGGAGGGGAAACTGATGGCTCACAGCTGCTGCTAAGAAAAAGTGTAATGGTTCAGATTTCTAAAATGTTTTTAGTTAGAAAAGAGAAATAGAATAGTTTAAGAGAAACAGGAACCTATTGATTTCTGTGGTGAAAGATTCACTTGTCAGGTCCTTATTAGTTCACCGAACAAACACACAATGCACTTGTGATTTGCAATATTTTATTTTCTTAAAATTTGAACAATGTGTTTCCAATGGGTGTAATACAATTAAAAACAGGCATGACTGACTCTATACTGACTGTTTGGATTTGCTTTGAAAAATTCAAGATCAGATTTGGTTTCCCTGCAAGTATAACTAAGATTTTTCTACTTAAGTTTTAGAAACTGATTGCTCCATCATAATATTTAAGCTATTTTCTAATGATTCTTAGTGAGGAATACATTCTCCAATAATATCCTTATACCCCCAAGTAAACACTGAGAGCTCTAGCAAACTGCTCTATGTTCAGGCCTTCACCTTCCCTGTACTTACAAGACAGGCACATATGCAGACAGTACTGCAGGATATTTAGGGGAAACTGTTTTAGCTATAGATCCCATATCCCTATACAGGCCTCTCTTCAGCTTGCAAGAAGATATTTGCATTGGCTGAAGAGGGAGACCTAGAAGTAGACATGAGAGGAAAATGCATTTCCCTTTCCAACATATGCAATCGTGTGCCTGTGCAGACAAAAGAATGGCTCTGGAGCACTACTGCGACTTTCCAAAAATTTGACAACCCCACTTTAAATTGAGCATGCATCAGAAAAACAGTTTACTTAAATATTGCTAAGCTCTTTTTAGAGCCAAAGTGAACATTTAAGGAAAGATACATACCAACCACAGTTTGTAGTGCTGAAAGTAAAGGTAGGGCATAAACACCCTTTTTGCTGCTGTGCTAATTTTCCTCAGAGAAGAGCTATCTTCTGTTAATATTCTCAAGTGGTATGGACTGTACCTTTCTGTTTAGTTTGAGTTGGTGTGCTCAACACTGATACAGACAATGAATGAAACATTACATTAAAAGAAATAATGAAACTAAAGTATTGTTCTGAGGTAGTAGTTACAGTGCATCCAAATGTTAGCAGTAAGCACACTGAATTTATACAAAGCGATTGCCTGGCTGCAAGTAAGAAAGTAATATTAAATGGTGTCTGGCTACTGCATATGGTAGCAAACCCTAACAAGAACAACACCCTGTCCTTTTTTCAAAGGGAATGCTAGTTTTGAGCTAGAGATTGTAGACTAAGGCTGCAGATATCCCTATACATATTTGGAAGCAAGTCCCAGTGAATTCAGTGGAACTTGTTTCTGAGTAAATATGAACAGTGACAAGCTGCAAATCATTCAAGTAAAAATAAAGGGGATTTTGTCATAATCTTCCTTTGCAGTCTGTAAAAAATAATAAGGGATTTTCTCAAGTGAAAATACAATGCACAGATCCTACAAAATTAATGTATCTACTCAATCAGGAAAAATTGCAGAAGATTGGAGCAACTGACCTATCTTGAATGCTTGTGCTGCCACTAGTTACAAAGCTTTCTCAACATTTTGTTCTTCCAGATGGTTTGGACGTCAATTCCCAGCAGCCCCAGCCAATATGGTTAGCATACAGGAATTATGGGAGCTGAAGTCCCAATACATCCTGAGAACCAAAATTTCAGAACATCTGCTCTGTGTTGTTATATCAGGAATACATTTTCCTCACCTTTTGCTCCAATGATCATCAATTTTTGGCCTTCTATATTTTAGTCCCTGGAATTGCTAAATGCCACACTAGTCAGGGATTATGGGAATTGATGTCCTAATGAGGCCCGATGATGGAAAACCATTTCTTTGCCCTGCAATATGTTCTGAGCAGCCTTTCACCTTTTGTTCTCCAATTACTGTATGCTGGCAATAATTGATTTTGAAAAATCTACATACTTGTGTATCATTCTAACAAACAAAAGGTGACATTTTTACAGTAGAATAGAAGTATGAAGGGCATGTCCTGTCAGTTATTCATGTGCAAAAACTATGTGGGTCCTGTGACAAGAGCTGCTTAGGATGAATTGTTGCTAAAGCCCCTCCCTCCTTTTTTGTACAACTCTCTTGACACCTTTCACATAATTATGCCTAGCTTCGAAATTATTTGGTTTCATATTCTAAATTAGCCCTGATTAGTAGATGCTTTACTATATTCAGCTAATTCTACGTTCACGTGCCATGTCTTACAGCCTCTTAGCACTGTTTTAAATAAAGACTAGTGATGCCCATCCCTCCCTTTCTATCCCCCAAAACAAAAAGCAAAAACAGTGCTCATCTACCTAAGACTCAGAGGCCATTTTGCATGCAGCCCTTGCTCAAATATGGCATATTTCAAAAGCAACACAATGTGCAGAGTTTGAAAACCGGTAATGGAACAAAATAGAGATGAACTTGGTACAAACCAAGGGATTGCGGTGAGCTGGTGAAAGAATATTATGACAGAATCCAGCCAAAGTCAAGTACTTTCAAATCCTGTTCATTTCAAGGTTAAGGGAAAAGGGTAGAATTAGCATTCCTTCCACTGAAATCAGTGAAACTTGGATTACAATCCTGAACAGAATTATTAGAGAGCAAGCAACACTGAATTCAACAGTAATTTATAAACAGAATTTATAAGTGTTTATGAACTCCAATGTATTTTTTCTATCATATATCAAGTGCATGTTTTGCTGCTAGCACACACTTTGTTATTGCTCAATAACTTGTGAAATAGGACAGAGGAAAGACTTTCAATTTAGTTTTATTATATTATAACATCTGCAACTACAGCTTATTCAGCCAAAAAATGTATTCCAAACTCTTTAAAAAATATCTACAATTTTTCTATTTTTAAAAAATAAACACTACCTAGATTACCAATGCTGCTTAACAGCACTTGAAAATGGGTGCATTATGCATGGATATCGTATTATAATTTTTCTGCTGTCCGTGTTGTGTTCTTCCTTCCTTTTCTTCTGCTTTGGTCTTATGTTTCAAAGAGTTTATTAAATGCTGCTCCAATTTCTAAAATCATATCAGAGGCTGTCATAGACCGTCCGCATTTTTGAAAAGCTTGGTGGTTGCACTGCCTCGTAAGCGAGCATGCTCCAAATGCAGCCACTAGGAAGGGATTTTGACTAAAAGAGAAAGAAGAATCTAAATAAAAATGGAAATTTACACCCAGTCCCCAAGTTACAAACAAGATAGGTTTAGTAAGTTTATTCTTACGCTGAATTTGAATGTAAGTTGGAGAAGGTAATTTTTAAAGTGCAACTCCAGCCAAATATATACATATCATATACATACACACATATATATATAGAGAGAAAGCTTCAAAAAGCATAGAAAACAGTAAACATCCCTGTGGTGTTTGTTTTGCTGTCTGTGTCTCTGTTCAGAAGATTTCATCTCACTTTCTGTCTCTGTGATAACTGGATTTTTAAAAAAAAAATGCTTGTGGAAACAAGGATTGGAGATAAAGCTTCAGTGGAGACGCCATTTCCCTATGATAACTCTTTCAGGAGTGAATTTCCCTTCCTAGGATAGATTTCTTCTCACTTCCTGTTGTCTCACCCCCGTTCTTAACTATTACTTGTTTGTAAGTCAGATGTTTATAACTTGGGGACTACCTGTATATGAGTATACGACATCTGCAAGGGGCTACCGAAGTAATGCTATTACTTATCCATTATTAATTACTTATTAATTATCTAGGCATTTAATAGAGAATGATCTGTTTCCTTCCCAAGTAAAATATTGGAGGTTTATTTCCTTCTGACTTAGCTGGTTTGACCTGAACCTCACATTCAGATTTCTTTTGACTGCATCCTTTTTTCCTTCCCCATCCCACATCATTAGTTTTTAAGAGTTATTCAGTTGCAGGACTCATCCTCTAAAGATGGTCTGAGTGCCATAATTGCCTTACCCATTTGTTTTTTCTGGTCCAGCAAGCAAGGCCCAGTGAGCCAGGACTCCAAGAGACCCTGAGAGAAGATCCCCTTGTCCACCGCATCTTCTGCTGCTTCCTTCATGGCTACATACAAGCACTGGAAGACAGAAATGTAACTGGTGGAAGACATTCAGCCTCTCTTTCATAGACTCATAGAGTTGGAAGAGACCTTGTGGGCCATCCAGTCCAACCCGCTGCCAAGAAGCAGGAAAATCGTATTCAAAGCACCCCCGACAAATGGTCACCCGGCCTCTGCTTAAAAGCCTCCAAAGAAGGAGCCTCCATCACACTCTGGGGCAAAGATTTCCACTACTGAACAGCAACTCCCAATGTTCAGGTGGAATCTCCTTTCCTGTAGTTTGAAGCCACTGCTCCACGTCCTAGTCTCCAGGGCAACAGAAAATAAGCCTCCTCCCTATGTCTTCCCCTCACATATTTATACATGGCTATCATGTCTCCTCTCAGCCTTCTCTTCTGCAGACTAAACAAGCCCTGCTCTTTCAGCCATTCCTCATAGGGCTTTAGTAGAGCTTATGACAGATGAGAGAGGTGTTCAGCAAGTATGCGTCAGAAGCACAGCTGACTACTAGTATATCAAAACTAGGATGTTTTACAGGAACAAGAATTAAAATGAGATATTAGCACTGAATTATGACTTGTGTAAAGCTGTGAAAACTTAATGTTCAAAGATGCACCAACGGCAGGTTATTTTCTTCAAGATTTGGAGCTGTCTGGGTGATGTTACCCAAACAAAGACAACAAAAAGATATTTGCATGTCTGCTTCACATTTTTCTGTCTGGGAAAGAAATAATTCTTTTTAAACGTCATGTATGCCCATTAACTATTTCCCATGTGATCAGCTGCTCTTACAGCTGGTAATATCAGCCAAGTAAACTACGTATATTATCCTCATGCTTTTAGAATATTACTAGTCAGCTGTTTTTTAAATAGAAGGAAAGGTAGCATATGACTACAAACTTTGACAAACACTATCATGTGCACTCTCTGATTCTCTCTCCCCTTTTATATGCATACTCTCAGTATCTTCTCTTTCATCCCATTTGTCCTACAGGGCATAGTCATGGTGTGCTGGCCATTTATTTATTCTCAAAAACAAATTTGGGGATAATACTGAATGAGAAACATAAGAATAATTTCCTAAGCAAATGGAAGGCAGAAGGAAAAATGAAGTATAATATAGGAACAGAAAACCACAGAAGTACTTATCCATCACAACAGAGTTAATCCATCATTCCTTTATCACGATGTTTTATCAATTTAATGGTATATACTAGGCTTGGGCGGTTTCGTTCATTAATTTCGTAATTCGTTATTAAATCGTATTTAAATTAGCTTACGATCCAATATTGAGCAATGCAGGAATAGTGTGAGGAGTAAATTAGATTCGAAACAATTTTTTCAGTTTATTTCGTAATTATTTCATAATTATTTCGTTATTATTTTGTTATTTCATAATTATTTTGTAATTATTTTGTAATTATTTTCGCATGTCTGGTGCAAGTTTTATAGTTGTTGTTTGTTTTATCACACCAACAGTCAACAACAGAGGGAGAGGGAAGCTTCAGAAGTTCCCCCTGTCCCATTTGGAGGTTTTTTTTAGCATATTGCGCAATTGCGTCCGCCATTAACGAATCGATTCGTAATTTTACGAAATTTCATGTATTTCAAAATTTTTAAAAGGAAAATTTCGGAATTATTAAAAAAAACGAAACGCAAGGGCCCCCTAAAAACAAAACGAGTTTAGAACCAAATTTTTCCGTGGTTACCCAAACCTAGTATATACTCCCATGAAATGCCACTTAACTGAAAAACATTATCTAAATAAATTAAAGTTTACCATTTTGTCCAATATTACATTGTGGCAGACAATGATGTTTTAAATTATGCTATTAAACTTCCAAATCCAGCACAAGATGCAGTTAGAAATTAATAAAAATGACACTGAGGCTGCACTTAGGGAGAGACTTCTAGAACTCCAGGTTTTGTAAGATTACACCTCCCAGCATACCTGATCATCCTGGTGATGCTGGGTGCAAATAAGGTAACCTGGTGCTTTGATTGCATAAACCTAAATTTGAAATCCAGATTATTTAAATATGTGGGATTGCAGTCAACAGAAATTACATTAATTTCAATATGACCACTTTAAGCATGAACCAGTTTGAATCTAAGGCATCATTCCCTCTTTAAAGAGTGTGCTGTGGGATACTATATAACAAGAGAGTACTATGGGATACTATGTGGGCTGGCTTTAGCACAGTAGGTTAATCAGAAGCTGCGGCTGCAGTAAATCCTGGCAACCGAAAGGTTGACAGTTTGAAGCCGGGTCAGGGTGAGCTCCTGCCCTTCAGCCCAACTCCCCTGCTCACCTAGTGGATCAAAAACAGCAATTGTGAGTAGATGAATAGGAACTGCATCAAGCGGCACAATGTATTTTAGGCACAGTGTTTTGGAGAAAAGTTTATGAACAAAAAAAGCTCTTTGGTAAGGAGATGGAGCGACAGCACTCCCCTGTGGCTGGAACTGAGCACAGCCTCCAGAAGATGCCATGGACATGGATTTAAACCAGGAAGTCATTGATTTTTATAGTTTTAAATTGCTTTTTATATGAATTTTATTATTTGATTTAACCTGTTTTAAACAATGTATTTATGTGTGTTCCGCATCTAATTGTTGCCAGTCTATGCTGCCCTGAGTCGCCTTCGGGCTGAAAAGGGCAGGATAAAAGTGTGGTAAATAAAATAAATAAATGCCGATTGATGAGAAGACACCTATATATACCTCTATCTGTTGCCTGTCTTATCACTGTATAATCGAAATTGCATGTTTGCCATATATGTGTTCTGTGATCCACCCTGAGTCCCCTTCGGGGTGAGAAGGAAAGAATATAAGTACTGCAAATACATAAATATTCTGCCAACCAAGCCTATGAACAATACCCATGAAAGCACTGTGTGTTTGCTATGGCATCCTCTTTCTAGAAGGTCTCTTTGGTGCTAACCTTTTCATCTTGGTATCATTCTGATCACTTAGGACCAAAAAAACTCCCACCACTCTTCAGTGATGATGAATGTTTTATGACTATACAGCTGCATCATATGCTTGTTTTGAAAATGGCTTCAATAGCTAAGTTTCTGGATCACAAAATCTATTGTTACCATCTGAGTTACAATGTTCTTATTTTAGTACTGACCATTACCATAATTCCATCATTCTTTTTACTTAAGACTTACAATGATGTATGTGTTGCTACTTTCCCTTCATTTCTCCTCTTTCAAATGTTTAACATATGCAATAGTTTTTTATTTTCCAACCACATCCATCAATGCATAAATAACACACACACATTTCCCTCACTTACCCTTTTCTCCATCTGAAATAAGATCTCGTTCTCCTTTTTGGACAATTGTCACGTTTCCTAGGGCTTGGCTGAGCCTTAGCAGACATCCATGCTGGTCATTACTATCTACGGGATCCCTAAGCTAAAATAATGGGAAAGAAATCATACAATGTAAAAATATCCACAATTAGATGGCCTGAAATATCTCTTTTACGAGTATTTTATGGAAACACTTAATCAGAAAACTTGGGGCCAGGGTTAGCACCTCCTATGCATTTTATTTGTATATCAATAACATTAATGGTGAAATATTTATAGGGACTAAGCCTTCCAAAACATAGAGGAGTTATCTAAGTAAATATGGACAGGCCTGCACTGAAGGGGGAGTTTGGTTCTGAATTTGACTTGCTCGTATAATATCAACTAAAAATGAACTTACCATTGCTTCATATAATCTGCTAAATTCCATAGCATTTGGGGTAAGAATAGCTCGAGGATAATTCTGAATAACCGAAGGCTGCTGGGCAATTAGCCATAAGCCATCCTGCACAGGCAATAAGACAGAGACATTTACTGACAGGAATGATATCATGGGAATAAGCCCATTTTTTTCATGTCAGGAGCAATTTGAGAAACTGCAAGTTGTGTCTGGTATGAGAGAACTGGCTGTCTGCAAGGACATTGCCCAGGGTATGCCTGGATGTTTTACCATCCTATGGGAGGCTTCTCTCATTTCCCTGCATGGGAAGCTGGAGCTGACAGATGGGAGCTCACCCTGCTCCCTGGATTCAAAACGCCAACCTTTCAGCCAGCAGTCCTGCCAGCACAAGGGTTTAGCCCATTGCACACAGTAAACAACAGAACTATAATACTTACGGCATCAATTACAATAGGAATTCCTTTGACCTTGGCTTTTTCTACAATACCCTGTTAAAAAAAGTAACTGTTTTTAAAATGGACTCCATTTTGGATGAAAGTGATTGAGGAAAAGAATTCACACAGTAATAATATACATTAGGTTTTAAAATTACATTGTATTCAGGATTGAAGTAATTTTAGCCATACTAAATGAGCTTTAAAATAGGGATGACCTTTTTCACAGGAACAAGCATTTTCAAGTTTTGTCTCTGATGGCGAAATTATTATCAATGTTTTTTTATATAGCCATATAAAGGCAAGTCTTTCTGAATCTGAATAGGAAACATTAAAAAAGAAAAAGAAAATAAGACAGTGACAAATTGTTACTAGAATCACTCTACTCTTTGACAACTTCAAAGTGAAGCTCTCTGCAACTTCCCACATGCCTGCCATCCCCACTATACAGACACAAAGTTTGCTGCCAAATTTTTATTCTGGGCATCCGTAATTCTAATTTGCATACTGTCAGTTAATTAGAGGGAGACATATCAGCAAAACAAGTTAATTTTGACATTGTTCCCTCTTTTCCTAACACAGCTTGGTGAATTCGGAAAAGAGTTTTTTAGAAACATATAAACAAAATAATTATTTTGTAAACAACTGCAGCAAACACACCCAGGAGGGATGGAGATGTGGTTTATATTAGCAAGAACATAAAACTAAATAGCTCTTCCATGGAAGCTACATAGAATTCCAGAAGACAAAATAAATTCTCCATTACAGTAACTTGAAATATTATTTTTCACTGGCTTTTGGAATACATGGCTGAGGAGAGTAGTGTGATGTGTTAAAGAATAATGCTTCTTCTTTTAATTTAAAAGCTTTATCTACCTTACGTTCTAATATATGGCATATTAAAAATTTGACATTATGTTTTATATTTTACTGGAAAACAATTCCTCAAATCACACCATGCATTGATTTGACAGTGTCATCCTTTATTTGTAGGGCCAGCAAGGGTAGTGGTTGAGAACTGGATTATGTGCCTAGAAATGCATGGGCCCATCACATTCTCTCAGCTTAAGAGAAAAGTAAAGTAAATCCACTATGAACTAATCTTGTAAAGTAAACCCTGCTATAGGCCCTCCTTAGGGCTGCCAAAAGTCAGAAATGACTTTAAGGCATAAAATAACATGGCCCATTTTCCTGTTTTTTTCTTTTTCTATTTTCACCTACGTCCATACCAAAGTGAGATATTCCAGGCAAACCATCTTTGTTTTGCTTTAAACTCAGTATCTTTCTTTGAACATATGGGTGTATTCAACTAGGAGTGTTAACATGTCTGGTCCTGTTCCCTAAACAAATTCCGCAATTGTCTGTTAATAGCAAATAAGCACTGTGCTCTCTTATCTGAAGCCTTTGAATATTTTATTTTTCATAGCCTCTGGACTTCTAAAACAACGAAGTCAGGAAGGAGCCAGGCACTCCATGGCCTTCATCTGTCTGAGCAGCATATTCCTATTGAGACTCTGGGCAAGTCTTTGGGAGGTTCATGAATAGAATAGGGTATGTACGAAAGAGGCCTACTACACAAGATATTGAAATCCAAATTACCTTAGCATTTGCAAGCAGTACATCCTCTCTCCCCAATCCAGGGCCAATGACAACCGAGTGCAATCGTGGTAGCCACTTTTCCACTTCATGAACAGCATCAGGCCTATCCCTAAAGGGGGAAACAGAGCACAGAATGGCAGGCTTGCAAAGGTCTGATCCTTGTAACGCAAACACGTGCTATTTTCCCAATTTAAGTGGGACAATCTTCACTGCAGTCTCATGTGTGAAGCTCCATTACTAAGCATAAAAGAATGAGGCTTAAAGGCTGCAATTCTCTGGGAAGATCCTGGAGTGATAAAATCACTCAACAGTACAGGCAAACCTCAGTTAATATAGCTTCTGACAACAAAGCTGTTTTAAAAAGTGTTTATACATTCAACCAGCCACACTCCTGTGTTTTTCACCAGCGTCAGATGAGTAGGATGGGTAAGGAAGAAATGCAGACTTTGTGAGCTGGCTTGCAGCAGTGTGTTGGCAGTAAACAATGTAATAAAGCTTGCAAGCTAAAATAAGCTGCCTCCAAAATCCTTTACTGAATGTATTCAAGCAAAATCCAGAGAAAAGGAGAGCAAAAATAAATCTGCCCCACCAGCTAGCCCACTATGTTAAAAAAAAATACGTGGGATCACTTAAGTTTATTCAATCATTTATTTCTCAGTTCTTGTGGGATATTTCGGGCTATATGGCCATGTTCTAGAGGCATTTCTCCTGACGTTTCGCCTGCATCTATGGCAAGCATCGTCAGAGGTAGCTACCTCTGAGGATGCTTGCCATAGATGCAGGCAAAACGTCAGGAGAATGCCTCTAGAACATGGCCATATAGCCCGAAAAAACCTACAACAACCTAGTGATTCCGGCCATGAAAGCCTTCGACAATACAATCATTTATTTGTTTACTCTAGTTGTATCCCATCTTCCTCTACCCCAAAGGGGACTCAAGGCAATTTTACATGTGGCAACTATTCACTGCCTTTGGACAACAAACAGAATACACTTAAGTTAAAATTAAAATTAAATGCACATTGTTGTTGTTGTTGTTCATTTGTTCAGTCGTCTCCGACTCTTCGTGACCTCATGGACCAGCCCACGCCAGAGCTCCCTGTCGGCCGTCACCACCCCCAGCTCCCTCAAGGTCAGTCCAGTCACTTCAAGGATGCCATCCATCCATCTTGCCCTTGGTCGGCCCCTCTTCCTTTTGCCTTCCACTTTCCCCAGCATAATTGTCTTCTCTAGGCTTTCCTGTCTCCTCATGATGTGGCCAAAGTACTTCAACTTTGTCTCTAGTATCTTTCCCTCCAGTGAGCAGTCGGTCTTTATTTCCTGGAGGATGGACTGGTTGGATCTTCTCGCAGTCCAAGGCACTCTCAGAACTTTCCTCCAACACCACAGTTCAAAAGCATCTATCTTCCTTCGCTCAGCCTTCCCTAAGGTCCAGCTCTCACATCCGTAGGTTACTACAGGGAATACCATGGCTTTGACTAGGCGGATCTTTGTTGCCAGTCTGATGTCTCTACTCTTTACTATTTTATCGAGACTGTACATTGCTCTCCTCCCAAGAAGTAAGCGTCTTCTGATTTCCTGGCCACAGTCTGCATCTGCAGTAATCTTTGCACCTAGAAATACAAAGTCTGTCACGGCCTCCACATGGTTTCTCCCTCTATTTTCCAGTTGTCAATCATTCTTGTTGCCATAATCTTGGTTTTTTTGACGTTTAGCTGCAACCCGGCTTTTGCGCGTTCTTCTTTCACCTTGATTAGAAGGCTCCTCAGCTCCTCCTCGCTTTCGGCCATCAGAGTGGTGTCATCTGCATATCTGAGGTTGTTAATGTTTCTTCCAGCAATTTTCACCCCAGCTTTGCATTCATCAAGCCCGCACATTGCATGATGTGTTCTGCATACAAGTTAAAAATAGGTTGGGTGAGAGTATGCAGCCTTGCCGTACGCCTTTCCCAATCTTGAACCAGTCCGTTGTTCCATGGTCAGTTCTTACTGTTGCTACTTGGTCCTTGTACAGATTCCTCAGGAGAGAGACAAGGTGGCTTGGGATGCCCATCCCACTAAGAACTTGCCACAATTTATTATGATCCACACAGTCAAAGGCTTTAGAGTAGTCAATGAAGCAGAAGTAGATGTTTTTCTGAAACTCCCTGCCTTTCTCCATTATCCAGCATTATTGGCAATCTGGTCTCTCGTTCCTCTGCCTTTTCTAAACCCAGCTTGAACATCTGGCAACTCTCGCTCCATGTATTGCTGGAGTCTTCCTTGCAGGATCTTGAGCATTACCTTACTGGCATGAGAAATAAGGCCACTGTACGGAAGTTTGAGCAGTCTTTCGCATTTCCTTTTTTGGTATGGGGATATAAGTTGATTTTTTCCAGTCTGATGGCCATTCTTGTGTTTTCCATATTTGCTGGCAAATGGCAGCATCACCTTTTAAGATTTTAAACAGTTCAGCTGGGATCCCGTCGTCTCCTGCTGCCTTGTTGTTAGCAATGCTTCTTAAGGCCCATTCAACCTCACTCCTCAGGATGTCTGGTTCTAATTCCTTCACCACACCGTCAAAACTATCCTCAATATTCTTATCCTTCCTATACAGATCTTCTGTATAGTCTCGCCACCTTCTCTTGATCTCTTCAGCTTCTGTTAGGTCCCTGCCACCTTTGTTTCTTATCATACCAATTTTTGCCTGAAATTTACCTCCAATGTTTCTAATTTTCTGGAAGAGGTCTCTTGTCCTTCCTATTCTGTTGTCTTCTTCCACTTCCATGCATTGCTTATTTAAAAATAGTTCCTTATCTCTTCTGTCTAACCTCTGGAATTGCGCATTTAACTGGGCATATCTCCCCTTATCCCTGTTTCCTTTTGCTTTCCTCCTTTCTTGGGCTACTTCCAGTGTCTCAGCAGACAACCATTTTGCCTTCTTGGTTTTCTTTTTCTTTGGGATGTACTTTGTTGCCGCCTCCTGAACAATGTCACGGACTTCTGTCCATAGTTCTTCTGGGACTCTGTTTACTAAATCTAGTCCTTCAAATCTGTTCTTCACTTCCACTGCATATTCGCTAGGAATGTTAGTGAGATCATATCTAACTGGTCTGTGTATTTTCCCTGATCTCTTTAGTTTGATTCTAAATTTGGCAATAAGAAGTTCGTGATCTGAGCTACAGTCAGCCCCAGGTCTTGTTTTCACCGACTGGATGGATGTCCGCCACCTTTGGCTGCAAAGGATGTAGTCAATCTGATTTCGGTGTTGACCATCTGGTAAGGTCCATGTATAAAGCCGTCTTTTAGGTTGTTGGAAGAGAGTATTCGTTATACACAGCGAGTTTTCCTGGCAAAATTCTATCAGCCTGCGTCCCGCTTCATTTTGTTCTCCCAGACCATGCTTGCCTGTGATCCCTGTTGTCATTTGACTTCCCACCTTGGCATTCCAGTCTCCTGTAATGAAAATAATGTCTCTTTTTGGTGTATTATCCAGTAGGTCCTGTAGATCCTCATAGAACTGATCTACTTCTGCTTCTTCAGCAGCTGTGGTTGGGGCGTATATTTGGATCACTGTAATGTTGAAAGGCTTTCCTTGCACTCGAATTGAGATCATTCTGTCATTTTTTGGGTTGTATCCAAGCACCGCTTTAGCGAATTTCTTATTAATTATGAAGGCTACTCAATTTCTTCGATGTTCCTCTTGTCCGCAGTAGTAGATCTGGTGGTCATCTGATGTGAAGTGGCCCATTCCAGTCCACTTCAGTTCGCTGACCCCCAGAATGTCTATCTTTAGTCTTGACATCTCACCAATAACAACATCCAATTTGCCCTGGCTCATAGATCTTACATTCCAGGTTCCTATGGTGTGTTGATCTTTAAGCATCGGATTCGTCGTTCACCTCCAGTACCGTCCACTACTAGCCTTCCTTTCGGCTTTGAGCTAGCTGCGTCATCACATCTGGGGCTAGTTGAACTTATCCTCTGCTCCTCCCCAGTAGCATTTTGGCCATCTTCCGACCTGGGAGTCCCATCTTCCAATGGCATACCGACATATCTCTGTTGTACTGGTCCATTTAGTTTTCTTGGCAAGGATACTGGAGTGGTTTGCCATTGCCTTCCCCAGGGATCACGCTTGGTCTGACCTCTCTGCCACAACCGTCCCGTCTTGGGTGGCCCTTCACGGTTTTGCTCATGACATCATTGAGGTGCTCAAGCTCTAGCGCCCCGACAAGGCGGTGATCCTTTGCTGGAGTAAATGCACATTAAAACATGTAAAACATTGCATTCACTATTAAAATCATGCCATCCTCAATCATAATCTGGGGCCGTTCCAAAGATCAACTGCAAATATTTTGAGGCTATTATTGCACTATAGATTAAGTCTGGTCACCAAAATAGAAGAGTGCAGGCTGATGAAAGAAAAGATAACCCCTGGATGCATTTCAGAAAAGCCTGAAATGGTCTCTAGAAGGTTGAAAATGTTTTCATTTACATATGGAAAACACATCTGGCCCGACTGTTTTCTTTCATGTTAGAATACTGTTAGTTCAGGTTTAAAAACATGTTGACTTGTTCTTTTTTGGTGTAGGAATCTATCCCAATTTTTTCCAAGTTATTTCAACCCCTGGTTCCCAATTTTCTGTTCAAGAACCAATGTGCTGGAACACATTTAAGGTAATGTTTATTTCAAACTGCCAGAAATGGAAGAGGAGAGAAATAACCATTCTCCTTTAACCAAAGGGGATGTTAGCCATTCTAAAAACCCACACAAAATGCCACACACAGTGTGCTCATCCAATACAGATCGACTCTGCTTTGAGTCTTGCATGAATATCCAAACAAAAATATATGACACTTCGATTCCAGCTTTGAACATGAACTACTCTTCTTACACAACTTCAGACTTTATCTTTGTTAAGTTGCAAAGGGAAAATACAAGGCAAAAAGCAAGAAAGACCCACCAGGATACTTACAGAACTGGATGAACAATGAGCTCTGGGCTGTAAGACTTGATTACACATGCTGCATCTTTGGTACAAAATACATGGGATAGATCTGCACCCTAAGAAGATATTTATATATAGTTAAGTCTTTGTCATCATTGTGCTAAACCAGGTGCGGGTATCATTTATTTATTTATTTCAAATATTTATACCCCGCTTTTCTCCTCCCTGGAAGGGGGACTCAGGGCAGCTTACAGATGGCAACCATTTGATGCCCCACATATACGATAGATAAAACAACAATTACATAATCAGTAAAACATTAACATTAAATTAAATACCATATAAAACAGTACAAAATAGAATTAGTTGGCATGTCAAGTCCGAGTTCTACAGTCAACAACTTAATCCGAAGCCTCTCCATAGCCTGTTTTCCATAGCATTGTCATCATTTTTATTATGTATCATGTACTGACAGAGCTGGGGAAAGAGATTCTATGCAGACCTTGCTCCCCACTCCTATCGATCCCTCCCCATTTCTTGACTGAAAAAAAATCATTCTGGGGTGTGTATGCAGTTTCAGGTTCAATCCCACCATGGAACCAACAGGAAATACACTCTCAAAGTAGCTAGTAGTTTTCAGGGTTTACAAGAATGGCAATAGTGAGGCCCACTGAGGACTGGGGAATTATAAAGCAGTTCTCTTAACTCTTAGAGGGTGCCCAACCGCACAGTAAGTCATCAGGTACAGGGAATTCATTTAACACCATTAACTACTCAAAGAAGGTTAGTTTCATACCTTCCAGATTCATTTTGCCCAAACACTGTTTACACACTTCTATCAAATCTATTTCTTGTGGTTTACATTTACCACCAACGCCCTATATGCATTGCTCTGGAAATAAGTCTCATTGACTACAATGACACAATTTTGTTAATATCAGACATTAACAGTTATCCCTTCATATAAAAGCTAGTTCTCCAAATTCCATACCAGTCTAGGATAACTAAAGAGGATACACATTCTTCTTCTCAACAAACATGAATAAAATAGCAATCCATTTATAAAAGCAGCTATTGCAAAATCATAGTTACCTATTGTGTAGACATTTCAATTTCAACTTATTTCTAAGGGCTTGTCTAAACTGGTGAAAAACAGAGTACAGTACTCAGCCCACAACAGCAGGCATGTAGCCGGGGGGGGGGGGGGGGGGGGGGGGGGGGCTTGAGGGGCTTCAGGCCCCCCCCCCCGAAATTCTCATGGTGGTTCGCGAAAAGGCCTTACTGGTACATTATTTAAACTGTTATGTTTATTCATATCATGATCTGATCACCATGCTCAATATATCCCATATGCATGGGGTTATTGGGGTAACAATACAAAAGGTTTGCTAGGGTAGACCTTCTTTCACTCAGACTCCCCCCCCCCCCCCGAATCAAATATCCTGGCTGCGGGCCTGCTGGTAGGTATTACACTTCCCTCCTTTAAACCAATTTTGCCCATTTTGGAAACTCATCATGAGGCTTTAGAGCCATCTGGACAGTGGGACTGAGTCCTATTTGGCCTGGTTTGCCATTCAGATTGGGTACTGGTGCCATCATCCTTTCCCTGTGTTCATCAGCTCAGGGAAAAGGGACACATCGTGCCCATGTTGCCCCTTCTCCTAACCAGCCATGGATCTGGGTTTACGACTGTGGTGAACGCCATCTACTTCCACTTTATACTTCTAAAAAAAAGCTTACCACTTTGAGAGCTGAAATTGCAGCAAAATATGGTGCCCCAGTATACCTACAAATGGAAAAAGCTTAGATCAGGAAACTATTACATTTCTAATGTCACTGATAACAAATTCAGTTAAAGAATAACTAAAACACACTCACGTTTAAATTTCTGTTAGTTACAATTTTTAAAACTTGAAAATTATACCACCACAATGCAGTGCAAATTTTCCCAAAAAATACTGTATAAACAATGAAGTTGTCTCATGAATTAATATGGACAAGTGTAAATTGATAAAATCATATAAACTGATTAGCTTGTTTCCACAAATTACTAACTGTTGACAATGCTATGACTTAATCCATGATAACAAATCTAGCACATACTTTTACAAAAAGGAAATACAGTATCACTGCAAGTTGCTATTATCTTGTAATAAACTTGACAGGATAACAGTTTCTAAGCAACTGATACAAAATGGAATCTACAGAAAAAATCCCTTTGTTACTGGAAAAATTCAGTTTTCACAACTATTTATTGAAGGAGATTACTATTAGTTTCGATATGCCATAATGCACTTCATGGATCAAATACTGTCCCTCCCCACACATGGGAAGGAACAAAGAGCTCTGTAGGAAGTCAAATTTTTATTTGACTAGCACCTCCACCTTCTAAGATTTTCACCCTACCTATACACTTTCAAGTATACCTTTGTAAATCTAAAGGCTAGAAATAGTCTCTTTTTAATGAAAGGTGAGATTCCCTGGGATCTGAATTCTACATGTAATAATATATTCCACTCTTCTGGGCTCACAAGATTGTGAAATAAACACACAGTCCTCACATGCTCTTTTTCAGCAGTGAGCACCAATATCATTTCTCCTAAAAACTAATAGTTTTCATAATAATCCATGGTATCTCAAAAAGCAGATGATTTATGGTTTGGGATCTAAACATTAAGAGCTTTTATACAGCTGTCAAAATTCTAATGACAATAGATTTCTATTATCCCCCCTCTTTTTCCACTAGGAGCTGCAACTGTAGGACATATATCTGAATATGATTACCTACACTTTTTTTTAGCTAAGCAGTGAACAGACTGACTTTCAAGTAATGCTGATGGATCAAGTGGAAACTTTATTACTCCTATCAATAAGCTCAAATTGATCTTAAATCACAACAGATATCAGATCTAAATAGCCTTTCCACTCCACCACCTATGTTAGGCTTCAATGTGCTCTCTTCCTTTCTAATTATGATTCGCCTTAATAACTGACTCAACAATATTATGATTATTCTAAAGTATAACCTGAGTCCAAACTAGATTTGGGAATCTACTCTGAAAAGTGACTTCCCGTTGATTTGATTATAAGTATTCCCAAAACACTAGATTTAGGACCCAGTGTAACACTGGTTTATCATTTCAACTTTCCTTAAAATGCCTAAAACTGAAGGCTTTCCTCTGTTTCAGAAACTTGACAGGAAAGTATTAATTTCTTCTCCTGCTTCCCATCCGTTACTCACTTCTTTTGGGTATGATGTAAAAGATGGGGTAGTTATTTTCAATTAACCCCACGTTATGTTGAACAGCACAAAATCTCTTTTTTCAAGCTATCTTTCTCAATTTATCACAGCCAACATAAAATGCAAACATAAATCAAACTATATGGATTTCTTGGTTTAGAATTTGCCTTCTTGTTTTATTTTCATACTTTCTAATTCAGGGGTTTCAAACTCATTTTCATCACATCAGACTTACGGTTGCCGTCAAAGGGGCATTTAATCCATGGATAGAGAATCCGTGGCTAAAGAGAGCCAACTATAATTTTTTAACATAATGATCAGTGCTCTTGAGTTTTTACGCAATTTTGGTCCCCAGAGGTTATTGAATGACAACTCCTATCACTTATGATTATCTGACATGTGGACTGAGGATAATGGGAATTGCAACCCAACAGCACTGGTAGCTTTGTAACATTTTAAAATCAGACATCACATTCACAAGCCCTGTATCTAAATTCAAATCCCACTATCCTGACTAAACAGAACAAACTGCAGCCTCTCAGATGATACTGCATCACAACTCCCATCAGTTCTAGTCATCATGACTAATAATAAATACAGGGGTTATCGTTCACATAAAATGACATTTTGGGTTGGAATCAGCCTGCAGGCCTTGAATTTGACAAATGTGCTCTTCTTGCTTTCTCCTATGGGATTTTGTAACTTTTAGACAATTGGGGTGGGTCTGCTTTCCTAATTGCATCTTAAAGGTCAATCAATTGTTTAAGTCCCATTTAAACAAAAAATCTGCAGAAAGAAGAGAAAGAAGTTGAAGGAACTAGCTACTAAGCACTCTTCAGACTGCCTCCCTTTGTTCCTAAACATTATGAGTAACAACCCAAGAAAAATTTAAGTGTAAACAGCAGTGGATGGTGGCAGCAAAAAGAGCAGACACAAGTGCTGCATTTCCTAAAACCTACCCTAGAATGGGGCTGATTCTGAGGAGGGGTCCCAACTGTGTCTCTTGTGGTTTGGCTTCACCTTTTTTTAAAAAAAGAACTGTATTGTTTGCAATAAATGTTACTCATGCCTTTCACAGCAACAAGTATATTATGCTTGTAAACAGTCACTCAACTGGTTGCTTGCAATATCTAAAAATTGATCATTACAAAAAAAACCAAACAAACAATAAACAGAGAAGCAAGCTCTTTAAAAAATTGTGGAGAGGGGATGCCCTGTTTCTTCTAAGCTATCAAAGTGGCACAACCAATGGTCAAAGGTGTGGGAGAGACTGCTGAATCACTGGTGATTAAGTAGTATTTGAATGATATATATTTTCACTTACTCTTGGCATCCTCCAACTATTCCTATTCGTCCATCTTGGCCTTTATGTTTTTTGGCAGTTAGAGGAGGAATGATGTTTCGCACCAGTTGGAATATATTCTCCATTTCCTTTATAGAATGCGTTTTGTGCATTGAAAAAGATCTCTCTATAACTGAAAAAGCAGACATTTGTTATGTCAAATATGAACTTTTCAAAACATGAATATAATGTGACTATAACATACTTCCAATAAATTACAATGCTAAATATTTTTGCTTATATTGTTAATTAACTTGATGACCTGATTTCCACCATCATTGAAATGGCCTGATTTACACAATGAATACCTGTCATAAATCAGGCCATCATGTTAATTATAATGTAAACAAGAATATTTATTCCAGAGTAGCTTTCTGGCACATACTGCCAGACTACTCCTATTTGCAGCAGGAGCGGCTAAACAGACTTCTGGTTTACGGAAAGCTTAACTTGACAAGACTCAAGACTCCAGCTTGTTCCTCTCCCAATAAACCAGAGAAAGAATAAGTGGACAAAATAAGCCTGAGCACTGGTTCCTGACAGGTCCAGAAGTTAAACCAAACAAACCATGAGTTGAGGGTCTCTAGTTCATTTAACATCATGTGCATCAGTATGCAGGCTCAACCGTATAAATAAAAAGTCTTTCAACTTGTTGCAACACCAAATCTACTTCATGTTACCAGACATCCCAACAACTCACACAATCTTATTATTAATAGTACTTAAATAAAACATATGGGTTGGTGTCTATTTGCTTTTTTGAATCATGTTTGGTTCTGTATCATCGTCACCTAAGCAAGCAGTTGTAAAATTATTTGCAAAATAATGCAGAAGGAGATCTTTGGACCTTCACACACTGGTATCATCTTCCCACACTCATAATGGGACAGAATCACATGCTTTTGGAAGGGAAGGTTCTAAGAAAATGCATGCACATTGTTGCTTTCTTTCCTGCATGTCCAGAACCAGATACACAAATTTTAAAGCTCATGTCAGTTACATGGTAGTCCTTGTCAGGTGTTCTACAAATCTGGACTTTAAGAAACAGAAGTACTTCAGTTCCTATAGGTCTATGCATGTCTACTCAGATCCCAATGAATTCAGTGAAGCTTACTCTTGAGTTGCCTACAGGCTGAGAAAAGTGATATACAAATACAGTAAATAAATAAATACTTCAAGGTAAATAGAAAGTGGGCTGCAGCCTCAGCACCAATTGAAATGGACCCATAATGTAGGAGTCATTTAGAAAAGGTATTGCAGACACATGGGCTGGAAATTGTATGAACTGAATTAACTCCTATAACTGCAATAATAGCACTGACGAGACGGAAACTGTGCTGCTATAAGGCATGGGCTGGGGTCTCAATCACTTAAACCTCTAACTGCAAATCAGAATGGTCTTAGCTCAGTTTTTAGGAGAGAAAATGCTGACGTTTTAGTCACATGTGCATTTTATTTCAAGGTCCAAAAATGAATACATTCATGCAAAGTTAATCCTCCATATTTCTGCAGCCTTGGTAATAAATCTTCTAAATGATAGTTCAAATTACATAATTAATTGCTATCAAATTGATGTTCTTCATTAGTGTTTCTATTGAAGCATATCCTATGTACTTTTTAAACAACCCGTTCAAATTATGCTTAGTTGTCACAATCAGAAACATTTTGATAAGGACCATTAAGTACCTGTGGAGGGACAGTGAATAGTATACAGGACAAAATCTGTAAGAGGAAAAAACTCTAAACAGCTGAACAGCAAAACATCTATGGAAATCCCAATTATTAAATAAATCTAGCAATTGAATAGAGATCTAAATTTTTACTGGAAATGCAACAGATCAATAATATTAACTTATTATTTACACAAGCACCCTATGTGTAGTGCTCTTCCAATGATACAGATACCTTATCATATTTTATTCTACTTGTGAGCATTTTATTTTTGCAATACGCTATTCTGGGATAGGCATACCCATGATGAATTAGAACAGTGGCACATGCTAAATCCATTCCGGATCTGTTCAGGCTTCCAGTATCAATTCCAGAAACTGCATTCAGATCTTTCTAAACAATCACAAAAATGAAGAATTTGCACAAAAGGATGCCCATGAATAAACATTAGACTTTACCGAGTTCTATACTGCAAATTGCATACCATGGATTAAATCTCAAAAGATCCTAGACAAATGTATGATATTCCTTGACTATGAGAAATCACAAAAAACAGAAGTATGAACACAGCTATGTACACATCTAAAGGCCTTTCATCCAGCCTTTTCCCTTTTCTAAAGAATTACAGCTTTTCTTGCCATTTACCCTAAACCAATTCTATTAAAGTGCCAGTCCTCAAAACAGTGTTGTTACTCTTTGTCAGATTTTCAGGAAACAAACAATTGTATCAATAGGCACAAGTTTAGTGTTTGCTCCTGGCACATCAGACAAAAAGGACCTCTACTCCTGTACATCAGATAACCTGAATATCACTGCTCTAAACTACTTAGTTCGACAGTACTTTGTCAAAACACCTAAATGCATAACGATTCAAGTAAATATAATTCACACTTTAGATTAAAGTAACCGGGACATCAATTTAATATATTGGAGTCCTGTGAGATACTGGGGTCCCAAAACTGCTGGTTTCCAACTGCTGGGAAGCTTGGGAGCAACGGATTCAAACTGCAGGAAATGAGATTCTACCAAAACATTAGGAAGAACTTCTTGGCAGTAAGAGATGTTTGGTAGTGGAATATGCTGCCTCAGAGCATGCTGGAGTCCCCTTCTCTCAATGTTATTAAGCAGAGGCTGGATGACCATTTACTCAATCTCCATTTATCATACAGGCGTTGCTGCACTCCATAGGGGTCTGCTCCTCTGCCCCTCAGGAACCAGCTGGCTGACAGTCCTATATTGCCTCATGAGAGCAATTTCTACCATGAGGGGGAACTTTGGCAGTCAACCCAACTCTTGCCCATCTCAATACAGACTGCGAGTGGGACGGTATAGGAGCAGAATTACAGAAGTTAGCTCAGACATTCATCAATCACAGAAGCAATGCATGTTAAGTGGGGATTGGGAGCTCAGGATGGGAGTACTGCATAGTATTGCTACTACAGTGCTTATTCATTTGTGACTTCCCAACAGGAGTCCAGCTCCTATAACAACTTGAATAAAGATTTAGACTACCTAAAATATTGTGGGAGCTGAAGTCCAAAACACCTAGAGGGCTGAAGTTTGTCCATGCCTACTAATTCCTACTAAAAAAGTAAATCCCACATATGAAAGGGAACAGGAAGTGATCATTATATATAAAATACCCAAAAACTTTCTTTAAGAAATCTATTTTAACAACTCATACACTGTTTTTAAATTATCTTTTGTAATTGCCAATACCAACACATTCTACCTCAGCCACTATTAAGAGAAACTATTAATTCTGGATCAGATACAAATGGCTAACCATCAAGTGATGCGTTTTTATTATCAAAATAAACAGAATACTCCTCTTAATCTGCTAGTCACAAATGGTTGCTCTATATCAGGAATGGGCAAACTTTGGCTCTCCAGGTGTTTTGGACTTCAACTCCCAGCTTACCAGGTGTTGGGAATTGTGGAAGCTGAAGTCCAAAACAACTGGAGGGAGGGCTGAAGTTTGTCCATGCCTGCTCTACAGCTTTAAAAACCTGAGCCATGCAAATTGTTTAAGCCATTGTGATCTACTCCATACCAATTCTGTAAAACAGCAGAACCTTCACATAAATCCTATGACCAAGTGAACTTTTGTAATCTCAGCTCAATGTATTTATTCATTTTGCAAACCGACCCCCAAAACTGCCCAAGAATAATTCTGCTGTTTTTTAAGGATTTCACAACCCATTGGCACACACATCTTAAACTATCAGGTGCAGACAATGTTTATGCAATAGAAACTGGTACCTATGGGTGGAGATAAAGTCGTCATAGAATTATAGTTAAAATTATCTCCATATGATCGGTGATTTGATCTCTGTGAAGGATTGCTCGACATATACTGTGACCTTTGTGATACTGTGGAGGAAATGCCTGCTAACATCTGTCCCAACATCTGCAACATCTGGAACTCCCTAGCATGCTCAGCTTCCCGTCGGTTTTCCTCAGCTTTAAGCCGTTGCTCTTCATATTTGTAAAACTTCTCTTCAGTATCCATGCTTTGTAGTAGAAACCTTTCCATCATTTTGTCCAATGTTAAGTTTCCATGACGTTTTTTTGATCTTTTAGCCTGAGATAATAAGGGTGGTGCATTGGTGTGAGCATTAATTTGCCTAAAACCTAAAACAGAAGCAAATGGGTTAGTTTGCAAGAATAACTGCACTTAAAGGAATTTAAGCAGTGAAAAGTGTCTAATTCCACACTTGGCAGAAATTCCAATTTAGCAACTGTCTTTCATATTTTAGAGTACATAATCTATTATTTTAACTATGTGGTAAAAACCTTTTCAGCTTGTCTGCTAAAGTTTTACAAGCATTATTTAAATATTTCTATTGTTGTAGCAGACAATATAGTAAGAACTAAAAATGTGACTATGTTTCAATGATCTGAAAAATTCCAATGAATAGACAAATAATTCTCCCATTAAGTGGCAACCCCTTTACTAGGGTGCAAATTCCACTGCACACAGTGGGGCTGATCTCTGAATAAACATCCACAAGATTGCATAGTTAAAAGTATACATGCATTAAATATTTTAATAATTACTGAAATTAAGTTTTCACAGCAATATATTCATGTTGCTTTATTTGCAGTTTTAATCACATTTTCTATATCTGTATCACAAAGAGTGCTGCTGTAAACATTTCTCCTTCGCTATTATTTACATGCAAGAGTTTGTTCTAAGTGAGAGCAAACTGGCCTAAGGGTGTCAGCTTTTGGCCCAGGTTTATGAGGAGATGCAAACACTAAAACATCCCTCGTGATTACATTTTAAAAAAGCACAGAAATACATGTGCAAATGGTGCAGGGATTAGTACATATATCACCACATTGCTCCTATAATATATAAATGCATTTGAATGGTATTGTGTAAGAGGTCTGGCACCATATTGAGCATCAAACTGAGCATTTTGTTTCCACCTGAAAGATTTTCTACCCCCCTAATTTGATCAGAGGTTATGCTGAGGGTTCTTTGTCTGGCTTGGGAACTTGAGCTCCTTATTGTGTGATATTTCAATGGCATGGTGCCTTCTGAAGTGTGCAGTAGTATGAAAGAATGCTGCTACACATGAAGAGAAAGTCACCAAGCACCATGGTGCTTTTTATTGCTGAAAAGTTAGCAACTTGTGTACAAAATTCAGGGATGATCCACAGTTATGTTCCTGGGGCAATTATAAATCAATTGTAATTTATTTTAGAAAGGAAGGCAACCTGCAGAAGCAAACTCTGAGGCCTTTAAAAATGCTAGCAGGACAGGAGTCTAGTTCAAAACATTTCTAATAGAATGAAGATGAATATGTTTTTCCTGATTTGCATCACACAAAGTTTTGTGCAATTGGTTGTCACCACAGTAGGGATGGTGGGAACTGTCTTCCATTGTTTTAGACAGGAATAGTAAGAAAATGGCCAACTCAGTAACAGATATTTTTTCCTCTCAGATGGAGACATGCACGGAAGGAGGCAAACATATACTATATATACCAGGCATAGGCAAACTTGGGCCCTCCAGGTATTTTGGACTTCAACTCCTACAATTCCTTACAGGCTCAGGCCCCTTCCTTTTCCTTATCAGCTGCTTAAGAGGCTGAGGGGGGAAAGGAAAGGGCATGAGGCTGTTAGGAATTGTGGGAGTTGAAGTCCAAAATACCTGGACAGGCTTGGGGGCCAAAATTGTGGGTTTTGAAATGACTCGTGGTTAAGTCAAGGATCATTCCAGAGAGGGGAAAACACCAATACTGCCTCAGGGGGACACCCCTTGCCCAATTTCCTGTCCAGGCATTCAAAAAGGCCAGAAGCCGCAATGAGGCAGAGGGAGTAGAGGGGTTCAGTGCTTCTTTTAAGTTCTCTTGGAATGGACTAAGCTGTTGCCTTTCACCACTCTAACTCAGAGAAGGTGATGGATCATTTGTTGATAGGAGTGAAGGCACAGCAGTCACACTGACCCCTTGGATAGGTCAACCCAGGTTTTGGGGGTCAATTTTTTGGCTAAAATTTCCAGACTTACACATGCCTGTACAGGGTATTTAATAAACCTTACTCTTAACAGATGGTCTTTGTGATTTGAAAGACAAATCCCCTTAGTCTGTAAAAAAATATTTAGTAAAGAGTGAGCCCTAATGAATACAGGTAAATTGGAAGTGCAGGGTTACTCTGCTTCTAAGGCTGTGAAGAACAAGGTGACAATAGGCTATGGGATTGTAAATTAGGTATTTTCTGTTTCCCCAACTAGTTTTATACAAAAGAAAGGGTTGCTCTGTGTGACTGAATGTACAGTGGGTTTTGTGTGTCTGCTGGGATTTGGTTCCTGGACCAACCTAAATGCTCAAGTACCATTATATACAATGGCGCAGTAAAACAATGCCCCTTTAGAGCAATATCAAGTTCACTTTTGGGAATATTATCAAGCAGCTGATGGTTGAACCTGTGGATAGGAAGGATCAACTTTGCTTGCACTAAGAGTGCATCTGCACTGCAGTCATAATGCAGTTCGACTTAACTAACTGCCATGGCTCAATACAATGGGATCCTTGATGTAGTTTTGAGAGACATCAGCCCTCTTGGGCTGAGATGGCCTTGCAGAACAACACCTCCCAGGATCCCATAGCACTGAGGCATGGTGCCAGACTGCAGGGCTTCAGTGTGTTAGTAGACCTCAATATGAGAAGGCCTCAGTATTAGTTTGCCTCAGTGTGTAGGAGGCATCAGTCAGAGAGCCCTCAGTGTGAGAAGGCCTCTGTGGGAGAAAGGCCTTAGTGTGAGGTAAACCTCAGTATGAGACGGTCTGGTGTGAGAAGCTTCAGTGAGATAAGTCCCAGGTTGGAGGCCAATGAGTGTGAATTTCCATTGTGTGAATGCTGCTGTGTGTAAAAAGCTCCTGTGTGAAGCTCCTGTGTAATTTCGGTGCGAGAACAGGCTCTGTGAGAGCGAAGCTGTTTATCTACATGAGAAAGAAGCCTAGCGTGCAAGCAAAGAAGGAAGTATAAAAGTCATTATTTGTATCATGGAAACCTTGCTCTGGTAAATAGTGCAAACCTATTATTTTGCTACAAAGAAAAGCCTCCTATGGAAGAGATAACATTAGTCTGTGTGTTTTTGTTCTTTTTATCACTTTGGGCTACTGGTGATGGGTTACGCTGCTCTTGCTAAGTTACTCTGCTGTGCAACAATTGATTTTAAAATGGAGATAATTTTAGTGTTTATGTATATTTAGAGTTGATTTTATGTTCCGACATATAATGTTTGTTGTATATATGTTGTGCTCCACCTTGAGTCCCCTTGGGGGTGAGAAAGGCGGAATATAAATGTCTTAAATAAATAAATAAATTTATGAGGAGGGTCTTTTGTTAATAAGCCCACTCACCCAACAGATTTCTCTCACTTCCTGTTTTTAACTGTGAGCTGTTTGTAACTTGGGGACTGCCTTCTCTAACCTTAGTGCTAGGGAACTATGTGAGTCCTAGTCTTACAAGGGCTTCCCTGTCCTGGAGAGAGGTCTTGCCAGACCACAACTCTCAGGATGGGGATGTCAAGTGCACTGATTGTACAGCTCCCATGTTGTGCTTGTGAGCTGGCTCACCTTCTGGGATGGCGAAGGGGGCTCCCTCCACTTTGATGGGGTGCTGGGCGAAGGAGGAGCACTCCCCGGAGTCCTGCATGAAGGAGTCCCGCGGGGGAGACCCCAGCTCGGCCCCGTCTTCTTCCTCTGCATCTTCTTCTTCCTCCTCCTCCTCTTCTTCCTCCTCCTCCTCCTTCCTATGCTGCTCCTCCCTGCGGCGGAGGAGGCTCCCGGGTCCGGCGGAAGGGGGCGCGGCGGCGGCGATGATGGCGGCGCCGGCGCCGTGGTGGTTCCCTCCTCCTCCCCCTCCTCTATGCCTTTCGGGGGCCTCTTCCTGGGGGGTCACGGGGGGGCTGCCACGCGGGACGCCGGGGCCGAGCCCGGGCAGCCGGGAGGCGAGGACGCGGTCCATCTCGTGGTAGTACTTGCAGGCGTTGGCGTAGGCGGCGGCGCTGGCGTTGGGGCCGGGCCCCCCTTTCCGGGGCGGGACGTGCCCGTTGCGGTGGAGGCCCTCGCGGGCCTGGAAGTACTGCCGCTTGAGGCCCTTGATGCGGATGCGGCACTGCTCGGGGGTGCGCTCGAAGCCCAGCTCGGCCAGGCGCCGGGCCACGTCGCGGTAGACATGGCTGTTGCGGAAGTGGCCCTCCAGCGCGCTCTGCACCCCGGCCTCGCCCCAGATGCCCAGCAGCGCCCGCGTCTCCAGCTCCGACCACAGGAAGCCCCGCGTCGTGGCCAGCATCCTCCCCCGGGCGCCCCGCCACCAGGCCCGCCGAGGAGGAGCAGGAGGAGGCGCCACCGAGCCGGGCCCCGCCAGCGGGACAGCAACCGGCGGAGGGTCAACGCCCCCCGCGCCGCCGCCACCACAGCATCCCTCGGACCGAGGCCTACTCCCCTCCTCGCAGCACAAAAGGGACCCGGCTGAGGCGCGCGCCCTGCCTGGCCTGGCCTAGCCGGCCCCCTTCAGCCGCCCGCAGGGAGCGCCAGTAGGCCCGCCCTGCGCCTCATCGCCTCAGCGAACAAGAACCACTACGATGGCAGCGGCTAGCGAGGAGGGCCTGGCTCCGAAGGCCCGCTCCGGCCGAGCGGAGGGCCTCTGTCCTCCCCCGCCCCGGCTCCCTGAGGGCCCCAGGCGGGACGGCGTCACCGCGCATGGCGCTGTCCCCGCTGCCGCCGCCGCTCCGTGCGCGCGCCCCGCCGCCAAGTTCACGCACACAAAGCCCTCCGCAGCTTGATGGCCTCGCTCCGAGGAATACATTAAGAGAGGGAGCGGGGGGGGGGGAGCGGGGGGGGGAAGGAAGGAAGGAGGGGGAAGGAGAAAGGACAAGCGCGACGCCAGGGGAAAGAAAATGTACACACAAGTTTGCACACTGGCCCCTTACAAAGCGTACCCACCTCCCGTATACACTATATAGGCAAGCCTTATACACAAGTCTTATAAATCGTACATTTCAATCTTATACACAAGCCTTATAAACCACACACACAAAACCTTATACATAAACCTTATAAACCATATACATAGGCCTTATATGCTCCATACATAAGGCTTATTCATAGTTTTTATAAAACATATACATCAGCCTCATATATCGTATATATAAGCCTTCCCCACATGCCTTATAAACCGTATACATAAGCCTTATAACTATAACTGTATACACAAGCCTTATACACCATATAACTGTATATGCAAGCCTTATACATAAGCCTTATACGCCGTATTCACAAGGCTTATTCATAATTCTTATAAACCATATACATCAGCCTCATATACAGTATATACTGAGCCCCCAGTGGCGGAGTGGGTTAAACCCATGTGCCAGCAGGACTGAAGACCAACAGGTCACAGGTTCGAATCCGGGGAGAGGCGGATGAGCTCCCTCATGTGGGGACATGACAGAAGCCTCCCACAAGGATAATAAAAACATCAATTCATCCGGGCATATCCTGGGCAACATCCTTGCAGACAGCCAATTCCCTCGCACCAGAAGCGACTTGCAGTTTCTCAAGTCCCTCCTGACACAACAAAAAAACCCAAGAACCCGTATATACCAGCCTTCTCTACAAGCCTTATAAGCCGTATACACAAGCCTTATAACTGTATATGCAAGCCTTATACACAAGCCTTATACACCGTATACACAATGCTTATTCATAATTCCTATAAACCATATAAATCAGCCTCATATAACATATATATAAGCTTTCTCCACAAGCCTTATAAACCGTATACACGAGCCTTATAACTGTATATGCAAGCCTTATACACAAGCCTTATACACCGTATACACAATGCTTATTCATAATTCCTATAAACCATATAAATCAGCCTCATATAACATATATATAAGCTTTCTCCACAAGCCTTATAAACCGTATACACGAGCCTTATAACTGTATGTGCAAGCCTTATATACAAGCCTTATACACCGTATGGTAAAGGTAAAGGTTTTCCCTTGACATTAAGTCCAGCCATGTCCAACTGGGGGTTGGTGCTCATCTCCATTTCTTTTTTTTTTTTAATGATTTTTATTAAATATTTTATAAAACAGGACAACGAAAGAGGGGGAACAATAAGAAGAAAATAGAAAAGTAGGAAAAAAGAAAAAAGGACAAAAAAAACGACAAAAAAGAGACTAAACTAACCTAAACTATTCTAAAATGACTTCCACTCCAACATCAGGATCTTTTCCATCAACTTCTTCTACTCTTGTCTATTCTTATCCTCTAATATTTTTCTAAATTTCTTTTCATAATCATAAAAAGAAGTCCAGTCTGTTCTCTTTAGCGGTTTCCCGGTATTTCTTCTCATTAAAAATGTCAATTCGTCCATGTCTCTAATTTCTTTGACTTTCTCCAACCATTCTTCAACAGTAGGTATCTGTTCATTTTTCCAAAATTTGGCAAAAATAATTCTTGCCGCAGTGGTAAAGTACGTGAATAATTTATCTTCATTTTCCTCTACTTTAAGGTCAGAGTCCGTAAATCCTAATAAATAATATTCAGGTTTCTTTCTAAACCTTCTCTTCAGTATCTTTTGTATTTCTTCATGTATAGATGCCCAGAACTTAGTTGTTTCTTTGCACGTCCACCACATGTGGAAGAATGTGCCCGTTTGTTCTCCACATTTCCAACACTTATCTGAGACATTTGGGTACATATGGCTTAGTTTATTCGGAGTCAGATACCATCTATAAAACATTTTGTACCAATTTTCCTTCAAATCCATGGCATAAGTATATTTCAGCTTTTTATTCCACATTTGTTCCCATTCTCTAAATTGAATGGGCCGTCTTAGATTTTCGGCCCATTTAATCATACAATTTTTAACCTGCTCTTTTTCCGTTTGCCATTGGATCAATTTGTTGTAAAGAATTGTGACTACCTTTTTCTCAATTTTTAAAACTTTATCCCATGTGTTTTCTTCCCAGTCAAATCCAATTTTTTGATCTTGTTTGAAGTGCTCTTTAATTTGAAGGTAGTGTAACCAGGTTATATTTCCGAACATGTTCTTAAGTTGTTCAAACGATTTAATCTTCATTTCCCCTTTCAACAGAATATCCTTGTATCTTGGCCAAATCCTCCATCCTAAGAGTCTTCTTTGATGGGCCTCCATCGCCGAGACCCAAAGAGGTGTAACTTTATAAAAGAGGGCTTTGTATCTTAACCATGTCCTCAATAGGGAGGCTCGCACGAAATGATTTCCAAATTTTTTTTCCTTAGATTCTCTATTATACCACACATAAGCGTGCCAGCCTACCCTCAGGTCATGGCCCTCTAAGTTTAAGCACTTTTCCTTATTCAAATTCATCCAATCTCTTATCCATGATAGAGCACAAGCCTCGTGATAAGTTTTCAAGTCTGGGAATCCCAGACCTCCTCTCGTTTTTTTATCAATTAAGTTTATGTAATTAATTCTTGGCCTTTTCCCTTTCCAGATGAATTTAAGTAGATCTTTCTTCCATTTTTTAAACAAAGTTTGATTTCTTATTACCGGTATATTTTGGAATAGGAATATAAGTCTTGGAAGAACATTCATCTTTATTAATGATATTCTACCCAGGAGTGATAGATTTAAGTAGTTCCATTTTTGTAAGTCCTTTTGAATTTTATTCCAAACTATTTCGTAGTTATTCTTCAGAAGTTGGCAGTTTCTCGCGGTAATCCAGACTCCTAAGTATTTAATTTTCTTCACACTCTCTATCCCCAATTGTTGTTGAATCTTTATTTGTCTCTCCTTTTTCACATTTTTAAATAACAGTTTTGTCTTCTTCATATTCATTTTGAATCCAGCCACTTTTCCAAATTGCTCTATTTTCGTTATCCAATGTTGTAGGTTTTTATCTGGATCTTCAATTGTTCCTAATAAATCATCTGCAAACGCCCGTATTTTATATTCGAATTTGCCGATTTTCGTTCCTTTTATATTTTCATCTTCTCTAATTTTCTTCATTAGGATCTCCATAGCCATTATAAAAATCAGTGGGGATAATGGGCATCCTTGTCTAGTGCCCTTCGCAATTTCAAATTCTTGTGTCAGTTGTCCATTTATTTTCACTTTGGCTTTTTGATAATTATAGATAGCATTAATTGCATTGTTAAATTTTTCTCCCATATCCAATTCTTGTATTAATATCTTGAAAAAATCCCAATTTAAATTGTCAAAAGCTTTCTCAGCATCTATTGCTAAAATAGCGAATTCTTTTTGATGATTTGTCTCATAGTATTCCAAAATATCAAGGACATTGCGAATATTTTCTTTCATATGTCTATTTGGGAGAAAACCCGTTTGCTCTTCTCCAATCCATTTATTAAGAAACACTTTTAGCCTTGTGGCCATAATATTTGCAAATATTTTATAGTCCGTGTTTAAGAGAGAGATCGGCCTATAGTTTTTAATATCATTTTCCGGGGAGCCTTCCTTATGAATCACTGTTATTTCCGCTTCTTTCCATGAGTCTGGAACTTTCCGATATTTCATCGCTTCATTTGCGATAGTTTTAAGTATTGGGAGTAACTGTTGTTTAAAGGATTTATAAAATCCAGCCGTAAATCCATCCGGCCCTGGGGCTTTATCTCCATTCATTTTATTGATTGCTTTTTCTATCTCCTCCTCCGATATCTCTTTATTCAATTCTTCTCTATCCTCATCCGTTATTTTGTCTAGTTTCATTTGGCCAATGTACTCCATAACTTCCTCTTTCTTTATTTTATCCTTTGTATATAATTGGATGTAAAATCTCCTGAATTCCTCTATAATTTCTTTATCTGTCCTCAAATCCTTATCCAATGTAGTTATTTTAGATATATGATTAATTTGTCTTTTTTTCCGGATTTGGTTCGCCAACCATTTACCAGGTTTGTTTGCATTTTCAAAAGTCTGTTGTTTTAAAAACTTCAGTTGTATTGACTGAGATTCTAACTCTGCATGGGTTTTCTCTTGTTTTAACACCAAAAGTTGCCTCTCTATTTTTTTTCTTGGTCTCTTTTTTAATTCTGCTTCCTTAATTGCTATTTCGGCCGCCAACTCATTTAACCTTTTATTTCTTTCCCTATTTTTCCTTGCTCCTTGTTGTATAAAGTGTCCTCTCAGAACTGCTTTGAAGGCATCCCACACCACACATGGATCCGTTTCCTCCACTTTATTTATTTGCAAATAATCTTGAATTATTTTGTTATAATATTCTTTATCCTGTTCTGTTTTTATTAGATTCTCATTCAATCTCCATCTCCTGGAGTAGTTTTTATGGTTGATACAAATTTCTAAAGGGCAGTGATCTGACAAGTCTCGTGGTAAGATGTTAATTTCCTTCACTTTGGCGGAGAGTTTTCTAGTTATCCAGGCCATATCAATCCTGGACCAGGATTGGTGTCTATTCGAAAAGAATGTATAGTCTTTTTTATCTTTATTTCTAATTCTCCATATATCTTCTAGATCAAATTCTTTTTGCAACTCTATAAATTTTTGAGGGAGTTTACCTTCCTTTATTTTCTTTTTCTTCGCATTTTTGTCTATTTGAGGGTCCATCACTCCATTGAAATCTCCTAACAAAATCAGATCATCAAATTCTGCTTCTTTTAGTTTGGAATTCAGAAATTCAACAAATTTTGTTTTTGGACCATTTGGTGCATAAATATTACATATCAATATTTTTGAGTCTCCAATTGTTATCTTTACCGCAATGCATCTTCCTTCCAAGTCTCTAAAAGCTAATTCTGATTCTATTGCTTCTTTTACGTAGGTTACTACTC